CCAGGCTAGAATGAGTGCCGTGGCGTCAGCCTAGCTCACAGCAACCTCAATCTCCTGGGCTCAAGCAATCCTACTGCCTCAGCCTCCCGAGTAGCTGGGACTACAGGCATGCGCCACTATGCCCAGCTAATTTTTTTTTTTTTGTATATATATATATTTTTTTAGTTGGTCAATTAGTTTCTATTTTTAGTAGAGACGGGGTCTCACTCAGGCTGGTTTCGAACTCCTGACCTTGAGCAATCCACCCGCCTCAGCCTCCCAGAGTGCTAGGATTACAGGCGTGAGCCACCACGCCCGACCAACATATAGGCATTTACATACAATATTTATTTGAGTCTAGCTACATTCATATTATAATGGTTCCTCCTTCTTTGTATTCTTTTTTTTTACAGTATGTTGAGTAGCTGTTTTACTTATAATGTGTTTAACATACTGTGTTCCCAATTTCGTTCTTAATGATTTTTATGGCTATTGAGATTTCATTTAATAGATGTACCATTATTGCTGTAGTAAACTGTATTCTCAATTTCTTTTACAGGTAGAGGAAAAAGAAACTATAATCACCTTAGATACTTCATCATCGTACTTCACTATATTTCAGGTACATTCTTCTGTGTCTCAATAATTTTATTTATTTGTTTGTTTGTTTGTTTGTTTGAGACAGAGTCTTAATTTGTTCCCCAGGCTAGAGTGAGTGCCGTGGCATCAGCCCAGCTCACAGCAACCTCAATCTCCTGGGCTCAAGCGATCCTCCTGCCTCAGCCTCCCGAGTAGCTGGGACTACAGGCATGCGTGCACCATGCCTGCCTAATTTTTTGTATATATACTTTTAGTTGGTCAATTAATTTCTTTTTATTTTTAGTAGAGACAGGGTTTCGCTCTTGCTCAGGCTGGTTTCGAACTCCTGATCTCGAGCAATCTGCCCACCTCGGCCTCTCAAGTGCCAGGATTACAGGTGTGAGCCACCATGCTCGGCCTCTAAATAATTTTAGAATCCAAGATTAGACTACAGTTTCCAGAAATGATTGCAGACATTGAGTGACAGTTTCAAGTTATAATCATTGCAAGACTTAGTCAGAATCTTTAGAGAGGGTTTTTCCTGTCTTACTTTCCCTCCAAATATAACATACCTGTGGCCAAGGACTTACCTTGTGGCTTTGACTAGTTCCCTTTAAGCACTGTGGCTCACTAGGAGCGCATGGGTATGTGGGATGCACCTGTGATGTGTCAGGTGTGGACATAGGGTTAGGGTTACATGAGAGATAAGTATGGTCCCCATCCTCGCAGGAGCACACAGGTAACCAGAGCATTGGAAAGAGCCTAGACTGATGATTTGGAGCACAGACATCAAGTCTCAGGGCCTTTGCTCAAACTCTGTCTGCTTCCCACCTGCCATGTGTCCTTCAGTAAGGACATCCCACATACCCGATAAATGGATGTGAGTTAGACCTTCCTCCAAGATCCTGGGAAGCCCTTGGAAACTGTTCACTTTCTCACAGTTTCAATTACTTTCAATCTATTTTCATCCCATGTACCCGACCACATGCTGGGAATTAGGATTCCACAAATAAAGGAAATGATCAGCCTTGGCATTGTAAATCTTTTCCTTAACTTTCTCTAGAAAGCATGGAATATACTGCAATTTATCTTTGAGAAGAACTGTGTATCTTCTATTGTAACAATGACCTAGAAATAAACTCCTGGCCATGGTTACTAAATCTATAGGAAGAAGGATGATACTAATAGTAGCAACCTCCTGTGGCTGTCTGATGACAAGTAGGTGTATACAGGCACTTAAATTTATGCCTGGACCCTGGTCAGTCGTCACTCTTCAGTGTTGGCTGTAATTCCAGAGTAATGTGCCTTTTGTGCATGGGAAACACAGGAGCATATGGACCATACATAAAAGAGAAAGGCCCTTTCCTTAGTGGAATTGCACCTAGAGTTTGTGTTAGAGAGGGAGCTGCTAGGGAAGCCATTGTAGAGAAGATGGCCCTGAGCTAAATACTAAAGCAAGTGTGGGACATGGCTAAGATGGGGCCAGGGGAGGGATGGGCCCCTTGGGGAAGGAAGAAGTGTGACGACCCATTTGCTGAGGACTTGAGGCCAAAGAGGGACAGGTGCCTGCTATGGTAGTAACTTTAGACAGAAGAGGGGAGGGGTACTCAAACGAGATGCAGTTATCGACAAGGAATAGAAATAGCCGAATTGGCAGGGCTTCCTGGTAAAATGTGTGAGTGACATTAGAGCTAGCCTGGTGGGGACACTGAATAGAAGAGGAAATTAAGGGTGAAGAGCCAATACTGCAGATCTCTCAGTGCCCAGGGAGACTAGGGTGGCACCACCGAGCAAAATAAGAACAGGAGTCAAACCACATGGGACCCATGTTCCCTGTTTAAATTTTCAGAAAGTTAACTGTAGATTCATTAAAAAGTAACTGTCTGGGGCCGGGCGAGGTGGCTCACGCCTGTAATCCTAGCATTCTGGGAGGCCGAAGTGGGTGGATTGCTCGAGGTCAGGAGTTCAAGACCAGCCTGACCAAGAGCAAGACCCCGTCTCTACTATAAATAGAAAGAAATTAATTGGCCAACTAAAAAAAAAATATATATATATATATACCTATTATATTACTAATATACAAAATTAGCCGGCCATGGTGGTGCATGCCTGTAGTCCCAGCCACTTGGGAGGCTGAGGCAGGAGGATCACTTGAGCCCAGGAGTTTGAGGTTGCTGTGAGCTAGGCTGATGCCACGGCACTCACTCATCTGGGCAACAAAGTGAGACTCTGTCTCACAAAAAAAAAAAAAAAAAAAAAAAAAAAAAAAAGTAATTGTCTGATACGTGTCATACCTTCTATTAAGACACTAAAAGTAGAAAAGTGAAAACCCTGCTCTTCTTGAATTTGACAGTTCAATCTAGAGAGATCACAACATGTGATCAGTTCTCCACCATGAAATACGAATATCACCTATATTCAGCTTGTTAACAGAAAACTGAATATAGAGTGAGGCGGTTGCCAGTGGTGTGGGGTCTTTGCTCACAGAAACAAGTTTTCTACCTGTTGCACTTTTGAGTTTTCCAGGCTTTGTTTTGAAAATTGCCTTTTTAGTTATTCTAGTTATTATCGTTGAAAATACTAATGTTCTCTACCTAGCATGGCCTTATTTACCTTTTTCATTGCAGGAAATTGAAGAGCCTTCCCTGGAGCCAGTACTATTAAATGAAAAACTTACCAGCGGGGTTTGGAACCATTCTAGTTTTCTCCTTCTCTAATTTCCATTCTCTAATTTTAAAAAGTTGGCTTACGTGGCCGGGCAAGGTGGCTCACACCTGTAATCCTAGCATTCTGGAAGGCCAAGGCAGGTGGATCACTAAAGGTCAGGAGTTCGAAACCAGCCTGAGCAAGAGCGAGACCCCCGTCTCTACTACAAAATAGAAAGAAATTATCTGGACACCTAAAAATATATAGAGAGAAAAATTAGCTAGGCATGGTGCTGCATGCCTGTAGTCTCAGCTACTCGGGAGGCTGAGGCAGAGTATCATGTGAGCCCGGAGTTTGAGGTTGCTGTGAGCTAGGTTGACGCCATGGCACTCTAACCAGGTGAAAGAGTGAGACTCTGTCTCAAAAAAACAAAAAAAATTTAAAATAAAAATAAAAGTTGGCTTACTATAGTATACATGTTATAGACTAACAGGCCAGAACTTACCAAGATCATAGAGATGGGAACCCAGGCAATCACCCAGTCTGTAAACGTGGCTAACTTCTTATTTTAAAATACATTGGTGAGATGAAACTATTTCATGCCTTTATATACAAATGGCATTTAAACATATGTACAAAAGTTTGCATGCCTATTAAGAGCTAATATCTTTACACTCCATAGAACAGATCTTGTGATATTGAGCAGTATCTTTTTATTTTTTTTTTGAGACAGAGTTTCACTTTGTTGCCCAGGCTAGAGTGAGTGCCGTGGCATCAGCCTAGCTCACAGCAACCTCCAACTCCTGGGCTCAAGCAATCCTCCTGCCTCAGCCTCCCGCGTAGCTAGGACTACAGGCATGCGCCATCATGCCCAGCTAATATTTTTTTCTATACATATTAGTTGGCCAATTGATTTATTTCTATTTATAGAAGAGATGGGCTCTCGCTTTTGCTCAGACTGGTTTTGAACTCCTGACCTGGAGCAATCCGCCCGCCTCGGCCTCCCAGAGTGCTAGGATTACAGGTGTGAGCCACAGCACCCGGCCTATTTACTGTTTCTTAAAGGGTTTTCTCTTTTCAGCATGCTAGCATGAAGGTTTATATAGAACAAAAGAAGATGAGTTTTGTTAAGTTAGAAACTTAACAAAAGTTAAGTTTAGAAAAAGTTTCTAACTTTTTCTAAGTTAGAAAAAACAAGATCATTTAGATAGTAGCTATTTATACACACTTTCTGGCCCAGCAAGTGCCTGACACCTGTGATCCTAGCATTCTTGGAGGCCTAGGCGGGAGGATCACTTGAGGTGAGGAGTTCCACACCAGCCTGAGCAAGAGCAAGATGCTGTCTCTAAAAATATAGAAAAATTAGCCAACTATGGTGGCACATGCCTGTAGTCCCAGCTACTCGGGAGGCTGAGGCAGGAGGATTGTTTGATTCTAGGACTTTGAGGTTGCTCTGGGCTAGGCTGACGCCACGGTAATGTAGCCCAGTGACAGAGCAAGACCCAGTCTTGAAAAAAAAATTTTATTCACACTCTCTGAGTGTGCTATAATATAACCAACCATTGGTTATAGCCGTGCTATGATATAACCAACCATCAGTTCCACTTGATATCGTGGTTACTGTGAACCAGGAAACAAGCACATGACACAAAGGTGAGAGGATTCTTTCCAGGTTTTCTTTTCTTCTTTAAGCAGAAATGAGAACCAATAAAATTAACATGAGAAAGATATAAGTTCTTGAGTTTCATTATTAACCTAAATTGAAGCCTCATAGGAAGATGCAAGGGCAGGCGTACCTTTCCATTTTTGCTGAAAAGTTTCTTTAGATCACTCATTGGCATCATAGAGGACAGTCCACTGACCACAGGTTCCTTCTGGAACTGCAGCTCTCTGGAACTGCAGCTCCCTCAACCTGCTGTTAAAGGAGAATTACTATACTTTAACTCAATAAGTAACAGGAAGCACCTTCATTCTTAAGGTTGGAGCCCTCTTCTAAAGTCTAATTACATCCAGTACCTAGTGTTCTTATTCAAGAATTCAGTTCACACACCATAAAACACAGAAGATTGAAAATTCAGACAGCATAAACTGAGACTTTCTTTACTCAAGGAATAATCATGTCCACATGAATTATAAAGTGTAATGTCTTTCGATGATCAGTTCTGCAACGACACAACAGGCTCTAAAATTCTTATTATGTTATTGTTAAATTGGCATAATTATTCCTTTCTTGTAATGGCCTTTATACTGTCCCATATATGACAACCAAAATAGAAATATAAAACACAGACATTCACAAACATTTAAAACTTGTTTCTCAAGAAACCATCAAGTGGTTACTCCCAGTAACCCACAAGAAAACAACTGAATCACTGGATCCAAAGTGTGGGGATCTGTAGACCCCTCCTCCCAAAATAAGGGATCCATACCTGGCACCCTGCCTTGCAAGTTAAACCATAACTTTGTCATCTTTAAGGATGGGCTTTTAATCTTTTTGTTGCTTAAAAGAGCTAGAGACAATGTTACTCATATAGGAAAAAAATGAAAGAGAAAAAATTAAAATTCTGGTATGTGCTAAAACTGAATACCTACCTGAAAATTAGTTTGAAATAAAATCTTAACAGACACTTTTGCAAACTTATATAAAAAAATATGACCCCGAGAATGCAATGTCAGATTCATGAAAGTCAACTTGATTTAGCTGAAGATAACTAGCAATTTAAGAAAACAACCATAGTAGGTTGAGAAAAAGAAAAATTGAATCGAGCATTAAAAATACACAAAGAGAAAGAAGACATTCTTTTCAGATCAACTCACTCAGTAGCCAGAGGGACTTCATTAGAAGCTTTAAAATCAAACAAGTTCTCATCTTTTTTGCTATCTCTGGCTTATGGACTTGCAGCTTCTACGGGTGCTTCCACAAACTTCTCAATACAGGCCTGCACATATTCAGAATTTAGTGGAAATCTCTAAACATGGAAGAAAAATTTCTGGGCACTATATATATCAAAAGCCTTAAAAATGTACGCATACCATTTTCTTTTGTTTTGTTTTGTTTTTGTTTTTTCAGACGGGAGTCTCACTGTGTTGCCTGGGCTAGAGTGCCCTGGCGTCAGCCTAGCTCACAGCAACCTCACACTCCTGGGCTCAAGCAATCCTTCTGCCTTAGCCTCAAGAGTAGCTGGGACTATAGGCATGTGCCACATGCCTGGCTAATTTATTCTATATATTTTTAGCTGTCCAAGTATATTTCTTCCTATGTTTAGTAGAGACAGGACCTTGCTCTTACTCAGACTGGTCTGGAGAACTGCTGAGCTCAAATGATCCACCCACCTTGGCCTCCCAGAGTGCTAGGATTACAGGTGTGAGCCACCGCTCCCCGTCTGTACACAGCATTTTCTGCAGGAATTCTATGCGTAGGATGTGCACTAAAATGTCTAAGAAAAAAATCAAAACATAGGTATTTAGTGTAAAATGTATACATCCTACACACACAAAATGGAAAGAAGTTATGGCACATTTTTGTTCAAATGTGGTTGCCAGTCAAGGGACTTCGGAGTAATTTGGCCATGTCTGGAAACCTCTCTGCTTGTTATGACTTGGGTGGATGCTTCCAATATCAGGTGTTTAGTAGTGCTGCTCCTGGACCTGTAATATACAGCATTCAACTCACAGAGACTTACTCAGCCCAGACTGGCTATAGTGCCAAGGATAAGAACCTCCATTTCACAATGCCTTGGAACATTTTAAAAATGTGTCCTTTCCTATTTTTGTCCTTTTACCATAAACTCTATCAACTGGCATAAAAATATTTATGGTTTTCAAGAATATTTAAGGACATGAAAATTCCCTAGGCAAAAACAAAAAAATTTACATTTCTTAAAAGTGCATGTTTGTATATATGCAAGTATAACGATGTGTTTGTAAAACAGAGAGATAGATATGGCTAAGTCCCCCCTCAACAGTTGTTAAAACATTGAGAAAGAATAGAAATAATTTTTATTGTCACATGGATACTTTTTCTATTTTCCAAATTATGTAAAAGTACAGTTTTTAAAATAAGATGTTGGAGGTCGTGCTCATGCCTATAATTGTAGTACCCTGGGAGGCCTAGGCAGGAGGATTGCCTGAGGTCATGACTTCCAGTAAAGAATTGCAGGCAGAGGCAGGCGGATTGCTCGAGGTCAGGAGTTTGAAACCATCCTGAGCCAGACCCGTCTCTATTAAAAATAGAAAGAAATTAATTGACTGACTAAAAATATATATACAAAAAATTAGCCGGGCATAGTGGCGCATGCCTGTAGTCCCAGCTACTCAGGAGGCTGAGGCAGTAGGATCGCTTGAGCCCAGGAGTTTGAGGTTGCTGTGAGCTAGGCTGATGCCACGGCACTCACTCTAGCTTGGGCAACAAAGTGAGACTCTGTCTCAAAAATAACCCAAAAAAAAAAACAAAACCAAAACCAAAAACCAAACAAGAATTGCAAACCCATCCTTCAAAGGAGGAACTCTGGTTCTCCTATCTGAGTTTCAAGCCCCAAAAGACATAGGATGAACCCAGCACAACGCTGGGGTTCTCTCTCGGCCCAAAGGCCAAAAGATGAAGGGAAGAGAGGCCTTGAGCAGGTGCTTGTGAATTGGGGTCTGTGACCAGTTCTAAATTGGACACTAATCACACTGCTCAACTTTGTACTTTAAAGTTACACAACACAACAAATAATAGCAGACAGGCTGCTGGGGAGAAAAAGGGCTAGTGACCTCTGGGGTGGCAGAAAAAGCAGCAGCCTAGGCACGGAGAGACTGGCGGTTCTACTCAACAGGTCTTAGTGCCTTCCAGGTGCGTCACATGGGACTGGGAGTTCACAAGGTCCCCACCCTCACAGAGCTTATTCCAAGTGGGGAGACAACCTCCACGGACACAAGTTTGTGTCAAGTACTGCACAATGGAATGTAAACACAGGATGGTGCCACAGACAGCAACAAGGAGATGGACAGGCTTCAGGGTGGCGATGTCTCAGTTCTGAAATGACACCTGCCCAGGGGAAGACCTGGCGGACCAGCAGTCCTGTGGCCAGCAAAGGCCCTTGAATAGCAACTAGCACCACCCCTCTTTCCTGAAGTTCTCAGCAGTTCTTCAGACACCCATTCTAGCCAGGAAGAAACTGAGCAACAGGAGAGGGGAAGGCCGCTGCATAAAAACGTGGAGCACAATCGGCACCACGAGCCCCAGGGAACGATCCTGGTTAGGCAAAAAGTCTGTATTTTAAGGGCACGTAGAGTAACTGTTAGGTCAGTAAGAACTGAGGCACCGAAATGGACGGGAATAGGCCAGGTCACACAGCCCGGCCCCTGGGGCACCTGACACCTGGCACCTGGGTTGGCCAAGAGGGTGGAGGGCCGGAGGCGCTCTGGTCCCGGAGCCGCAGTGACAGATTCGCGCAGGGACGTGTCCAGGCGTGCTGTGGCACCCCGGAACCTCCGGCCGCCTCACCTCGAGCCGCTCCATCAGGATGCTCTGGTCCGCAGCTCGCCGAGCCACCGCGTCCAGGTCTCCGAAGCGCCGAGCCAGGTCCCAAGTCGCCCGACGCTGCCAGAGTCTACGCCACCGACTCCGATTCTCACCAGCGGAGGCTGCGTCCCGGAGCTAAAGATGGCGCCGCCTAACAGCCAAGCGCAGAAGCTCAGTGGCGCGCAGGCGCGGGAACTTCAGGACCCTAGTGTCCTCACGTTTCGCGGCGGGAGGCTGTGGAGGCTTAACGCGCCTGCGCAGGAGCGAGGCGCGCCGGGGCAGCTGGAGCGGTTCCCTCGCAGGCGGCGCCATGTTGTGCTAGGAGCCGAGCTAGACCCGGGCCGGTAGTGTGTGAAGTGGGCGGCGGAGCCAGGGGCCCTGGAATGGCGGAGACTCTGTCAGGCCCAGGAGATTCGGGCGCGGCGGGCACAGCGGCTCTGAGCTCCGCCTCGTCGGAGACCGGGACGCGGCGCCTCAGCGACCTGCGGGTGATCGACCTCCGAGCGGAGCTGAGGAAACGGAATCTGGACTCGAGCGGCAACAAGAGCGTGTTGATGGAGCGGCTGAAAAAGGTGGAGCCGGGGTCCCGTGGTCGGGGTAAAGCGCGGGTGAGGGGTCCCGGCGGCCGCGACTCCGGTCCCCTGGCCCGGGTCCGCCCCCGGGCCGTTCGCGGCCTGCCCGGGCCTGGCTCGCTTGCGCCTCCCGGCTGCTCCCAGGCCCCGGCGGCAGCTCGGAGCCTGGCCTGGCCGGGCGCGGGTTCAACCCCTGGGGCGAGGAGAAGAACGGAAAAACGGGACGCGGCGGGAGAAGCCGTTGCGGTCCTGGGCCGCCGGTGACAGATGACAGGGGCCCCCGAGCGGGGGTTCTCCTCTCGTCTCATACCAGTCTCCATAATGGCAAAGTAAACATTTAAGGAAAATACTCAAAGGGAGAAAGACTTTAAGGAACCATTTTAGTGATTTCTGGCTCTAGTTTCTGGGAGGAAACGTGTCAGGAAGGGACGGAAGTATTGACGGTAGCGATCAGAAATGTAAAATACGGTTACATTCGGGAAGGAAGGACTTTTGAAAACCCACTTTGGGACTTCATTCACCAATACGCAGGGAGAGAGCGAGTTCCCCCAGGTCAATGTGTCTGGACTGAGGACTTGGCCAGCTCTCAGTGGCCTGATCTAGGGCATGGAAGACCTTTAACCACTTCTGAGTCTGTGTCTTCCTCCGTGAAAAGAAGAAAGCACGCGTGCTTTGGTTTGAGGATTAGAGAAGGTTGCGTGGAACAGTCTTCACGTGCTGCCTGGCACGCGTGAAACTCAGCGAATCTTGCTATGACCATTCAACGTTCCCTGTCTGTGCCACCACCGTTTATCATTTGCAGACTCAGGGTTCTAACCCCCCTCCCTTGGGGGATTCTTAGGGATCCCTTGAAAAGCACTGAGTCAAGTGAACACCAGCTGCTTTCTACTTCCCGTATACTTTGCATAGTCCTGTTGCTGTGTTTCTACCCCTTCTCCTTTCTGCTCTCTAGCTACTCCTCTCTTGAGACCTCATCCCTGTAATCTCAGCCTGGCCACCTACCCTGCAGCCCCTGCAGACGACGAGGCTGGTCATTCACTTCACCCTCCTGGCTCCCAAACAACCCCAGGTGGTGCCTTTCTTGTTAATTCCTACTGAGAGGAAGGAGGAGACATTGTTTATTGTCAGGCTCAAACATGGCTAGTCAACTTGCTCATATTCCCTTGGACCTTTACAAAACTCGAGCTTGTGTTTCTTTCACTATGGATACTAGCTCTCTTTACTTAAGACAGGCAGGAGGTTGCTTGATGCAGACATTTACCTGGAGGAAATGCAGAGTGGGGGTTGGTGGCTGGGCAGGTGTGGTCCCTGTTCTTAGCCGCCAGGAGTCCTCATCAACCAAACCAATTTGAGGGGCTTTATCCTCTCCTCCCCTTCTTGCCCCAGAACAGCTCACAGGCATCCAAGGCTGCTTGGATGGCATGTACCCTTGCTGTTAGGCTGGTGGCTGAGACTGGTGTGTGACTTCAGGAATCCTCTCAATCACTGTCATCTCTGACAACACAAATCCATTCCTCTTCCCTTCTCCCTCTTTTCAGTTTCTTAGCAATGTGGTTCCAAACACAAGAGCCATCAATGCCCATGCCCATCTGCTGCCTGGTCCAAACACCTCTGGAACTACTGACCTTCTGTTTATCTCCCATGTCTGCCATGTAGATGGTGTCCATTGCTTGGTTTATATTTCCAGGAAGGGCAAAAAAGCAAATGTTGGAAATGGAACACTTTTCCTCTGTGACGTATCATTTTTTCTATCCTCCTGGTGATGTTTCAGAATTGTCCCCAGTAAGAGGGTAAGGGAATTTGTGGTTGTGCTTTTCCTTTATCCCAGGACAGAACTCCAATTCCTCCACTGGCTTCCAGGAGGAGGGGAGATTTTCTTCGCTGCTAGTACAGATTAGGTGTGTAACTCCCAGGCCCAGTTCTAAATTCACACTTTGTAAGCTGGGAAACTTTGAGACTTTTCAAGGTCTACAGATAAAACACAGGACTCAAAATGGATTCAAAGGAAACATATGCTCACTGGATACTACAGTAAAGATTGAAAAAGTTATCAGTTGAAGTAAACTTAAGCCCTATTTCTAGTAATGTCATAATCACTGATGTGTTCAGTAGTGATTTACAGGTTTGGTGGCAGAAACTGTGCTTACTGTGGGAACTGTTACCAGTCAATGACAAGTTCTTTCAGTGGGAGGCAAGGCTTGCCAAGAAATCGTTATCAGTGTCCTATGAGGCAGGGTCACCTAGTAATTGAAAGTGAGGTCTTTGGAGTCAGTTGTGGATGTATACCATGGCAGTTGTGGATGCATTTGTGGATGTATGCCATGGCACTTGGCTGAGGCAAGACATGTCATGTCTGGTCACACGCTTATCATAGTAGCAATCCAGCCAGTGAGTGGTAGCTTCTATGCAGGCAGTACTGAGTGGAGGCATGGCATGGTGTGGGTCACTGGAGGCTTACACGGCACTGTACTGGGTATAGTCATAGGAAATTGAAGAATGTACCTTTCCATGTTTGAGTTCTTTTGGTGACAGGAATGGGATGGACCACATAAGCCCTAATATTTGATAAGTGCTTGATTTGTCATGCATGATAGAGTCCTCACAACAGCCTTCCAAGGTGAGTTCTATTAATATTATTAGCCCCCTGTTCTGGAGGAAAAAACAGACTCAGAGCAATTACATCATCCTGCCTAAGACCACACAGCTAAGAACTGGTGGAGTCAGTCTGCCTGGAGCATAGAGCAAGAGAACAGATGAAAGGGCAAAGTCATTTCCAGATCAGGAGCAGCTATATGCTCCCTTCTCTCCTGAAGATTCTGTGAAAGTCAGGCTGTGTGCTGACTTTGGTCAACTTTACATGTCCCTTCTCTTTAGGCAATTGAAGATGAAGGTGGTAATCCTGATGAAATTGAAATTACCTGTGAAGGAATCAAGAAAACACCAAAGAGATCGAGCAAAGGTATCGTGCACGTCATAAGCAAGTGTCATACAAGAGCTTCCTTCAGTAGTACTACTAAGCTAATGTTCCTCATTTACTTGGCTGTGTTTGGACTTGGCCACCACACTGTGAATCAAGAGCCTTCGATGAAGGTTTACATTTCCTTGACGATCCCTCTACTCTTTTGTTAGCTTGGTCCAGCAGAAGATGGAAGGAATATTTGCCCGTATATTCATTTACTCTGTAGGTTGCTCAATAGTCCTTATTAAACTTATTTAGGGAGGGAGTATTAGACACTGCTTGACTCTCCTATTGGTCTGACTTGCACAAAATAACTTGCCTATTAAATACCATCTGTCCAAGACAGAATTATCATTTACCCAGTGTTTTTGGTTGTTTTGTTGTTTTATTTTGTTTTTGTTTTTGTTTTTTTCAAAAAACTGCCTATACAGGCCGGGTGGGGTGGCTCACGCCTGTAATCCTAGCTCTCTGGGAGGCCGAGGTGGGCGGATTGCTCGAGGTCAGGAGTTCGAAACCAGCCTGAGCAAGAGCGAGACCCCGTCTCTACTATAAATAGAAAGAAATTAATTGGCCAACTAATATATATATATAGAAAAAAGTTAGCCGGGCATGGTGGCGCATGCCTGTAGTCCCAGCTACTCGGGAAGCTGAGGCAGGAGGATTGCTTGAGCCCAGGAGTTTGAGGTTGCTGTGAGCTAGGCTGACGCCACGGCACTCACTCTAGCCTGGGCAACAAAGTGAGACCCAGTCTCAAAAAAAAAAACAAAACTGCCTATACAGTAAAAGTCACATTCTATTTGACATTAATGACTGCCACCATCTTACCCAGATCTATCTTTCTTATTCCCCACATCCATTCCCTGTGCTTTACAGACTCTAGAAACATAATTCAGACCCCTTTGACCTCTGGAACTGCTGAGCTGAGGTGATCCTCTAGCCTAAGCCTCTGAAGTACCTGGGACTACAGGCACACACCATATCTGTAGTCCTAGCACTTTGGGAGGCCATTACTTGAGGGAGGGCAGCCGTTCAAGACCATCCTGTGCAACATCAAAACCTCTTAGAAAAATTTAAAAAGAGTTAGGAAGGCATGGTCGCTCTCTGATGTAGTCTCAGCTACTCAGAAGGCTGAGACAGGAGAATGGCTGGAGCCCAAGAGCTGGAGGTCACAGTGAACTGTGATGGCGACACACCATCTGGGTGACAGAGGGAGACGCTGTCTCTAAAAATGAAAAAATAAAACGACACCCCAACAGAACTAAGTACGGGTCAGTATTACGTAGTCTTAGTGTAAAGGAGAGCTTCTGAACATAAGGGCACAAACCACTCACACTTAAAAACTAGTTAACAGCTTTAGCTCCACAACAGTGAAATTTACTCAAAACACAAATAAATGAAAGACTAATGAATAATTGACAGGGAACTATATTGTATTTATGATACAGAGTTTCAAAGTCAGGAGAAACAGAGCAGAAGTTATTAAATATCGAAAGAATATAAATCAAAAAGTTTAACAAAAGTACTGGTGCTCAAGAAGAAAAATGTAATCCAAGGAGTAATAAGATAAATTCAGGTTAAAAGCAGTATTTCTGCTTTGCCTAACACATTGGCAAGGCTAAAGAAAAATGCCAGTTTTAGGGAAGATTCAGGAAGATTGGCACTTTCATTCACTGTTGATGAAACTATATAAATTAGAACAGGCTATGTCTTATGTATCATGAGAGTATGTTGGAAGGTTTTTTTTCTATTTACCCTTATAAATCTGCAAACGTGTTTTGTTCTAGAGATGTAATTTTTGGAAATATGTTCTAAGATGAGAACTACCTGTGTGCAAAAAAGAATTACTAGGATGTTCATCTTCCTAAGCATCTCAAATTTTTAGCCATAAGTGTTCATAGATCAGTGCTGTTGTAGCCATGTGGTGCAGTTAAAGAATATGCAAAGATGTTCCCAGCATGTTAAGTGAAAAGAGAACAGTGCAGTGCCAATTTTGTAAGCAGAGTACCTGTACCACATAGAAAACAGCAGAGGACATCTGACATCAGTATGTAATGTGAGTGCTAGTTCAAGGTGCTGAAATTGTGAATGGCTTTATTTCATTTTCCTTATTTATATTGTTTCATATCATTGTTTCTGTGCAGAAGCAAACTCTGTGTTCATTAACTAAAGAGCAGCACATTTGCATCAGACACTGCCCTCCCCACAAACAAAGCCTCTTGACAAAAAGGTCAGGCCTTAGGACAGGTCCGGTCTGCCTAACTTTGCTAAGAACCTGTTTCCTGCTCCTCCTGCTTCCACTGCCAGTTGATAAGAACAGAACAGTGCAATAGCTGTTGTACTTGAGGGTGGGGCGGGACCTGCCTTGAGCCAAATGGCATTCTCATTGCTGCCTTATGCAGTGTTCCTACCTTGGTAGGTGCCATGGGTGTTTAAGGCATCTTTGCTTATGTAGTGCTGGAGGCTTATAGAAATGGAGGTTATTGCTTCTGGGAAATGCATATGATTGATCTCATGCTGTAAATGATGTTTTTTGTCCTCAGGGCGTAAACCAGAAGAAGAGGGTGTGGAAGATAACGGGCTGGAGGAAAATTCTGGGGATGGACAGGTATGTGCAGCCTTGCAAGCGAAGCAGGTTGGCGCATGGACCAATGGCAGTCACGTGATGGTTTTGTTTTGTTTTGTCTTGTCACAGGAGGATGTTGAAGCCAGTCTGGATAACTTGCAGGATGTGGATATAATAGATATCAGTGTATTAGATGAAGCAGAAATTGATAATGGAAGCGTTGCTTATTGCGTAGAGGACGATGATGCTGATAATCTCCCAGAGTCCCCGTCTGACAGTAGAGAGCTATTCGAGGGAGACATGGAAGAGCTTCCGGAGCACCTTCAAGAACAAGCTGTAGGTAACTTGGCAGTGTCTCTGGAATGTATCCTGAACATTCGTGTGAGTTCCACAGGTGTCATAACAGATGATAGTTTTATATTTGAAATTAAGTTCTCTTAATGCCAGTTCAGGAGAAGAATGGTTCATCTGCTTACATACATGTACAATTCTGACAATTCTGAAAACACACTTTGCTCAGTTGAAAAGTGATATCTCCTGGTGTGCGTACGTACGTGAATGCTGCATATTTGCTGGAAACAGCATGAAACATTTTGAGGGCAATATTAAAAGTCTTCCTGTTATAGGAATTTGATCTGTGCTATTACAGCTTAGATGCCTTGAAAATATTAACGTAGGAAGAGATTGGAAGTTGTTCTGTTCCTGTTCACACTCAATTGGTACCTTCCTAATTGTCAACCTTTAATATGAACCTTGAGGTTGTTTTTAAAGTCTTAGCTTTTTTTCACATTAGGAGCGTCTCATATGGCATAACAAAATTTTAGTGTGTATTATGCATTGACCTCTCCCTATCAGGCATTAGTCACTACGTCCTTTAATCTTTTTAACAACCCTGGGAAGTGTTCATGCTGTGTTCCCCATTTTCATTTGAGGAAAGTGGAGGACACAGAGGTAAGAAATATGTCCAGGTAACATATAGCCCATAATAAACATTAAGACTAGACTAATTCAGGAGTCCATGTAGTTAACTCATACACCAGGTTAACTTGTTGGCATTCGTTTGTTATTAAATTATTTTGTTTGCATGAGGATTTGTGGTAGGAAAGGTGGTGAAAATGAAGGGCGATGGTGAGGCATCTCGTAGGGCCCTTTAGGTGTTCGTTCATGGGAGGGGCCCCGTGTCCATAGTGGCCCCAGATCTTCTGCAGCCGGAGCTTCTCGAGCAGTCTTCAGGGAAGGAAGCCCTGCCAGTTGACTTCTGCCATTTCAGAATACGTTTGCGTTTCCTCTTGAAACTGATTCTCAGTATCCCTGGAGTTAGCAGATTGTCCTCTTTCAATGGGGGTTTAGATTTTGAGAAATGGCTATTATTCTGAGAGTTATTCTGATATAAATCGGGTTTGCTGTTGCTTTATTTTTTGGAGAGCATCATTCACCAGCTTCCTATAAAGGAGCAGCAGAAATAGTTGTGTGCTGGCAGCGATTACATACCCTTCCTCATTCGCTGTATTTTCCTGAGGCTATTTTGTTTTCTTACTGCTTCTCATTAGAAAATAATACATAGTGGAGTATGAGCTAGAAACATCGTAATGTGCAGAAGCAGTGTACTGTGAGAGTTGAGGGTGTAGACTGTGGAGGTCTGCCAGTTGCCGTATGACCTTGGGCAGGTTACTTAACCTCTGGGCCTCAGGAAAGGTTTTGGGAGGAATAAATCGATGGACGTTTATCAGAAACTTAGAGCAGAAGTCAGCATGTTAACCATCTGCCTGTTTTTCTAAATAAAGATTTAGTGGCACATAGCCACACCTATTGTTGCTGCTGTTGATGGTTGCTTTTGTGTCACAGTGGTAGGCGTGAGTAGTTGTGACAGAGACCATCCATACTACAAAGCTTCAAATGTTTACTGTGCAAACCTAAGAGATGTTTCCCGACCCCTGGCCTAGAACAGTGCCCAGCATATAGTAAGAATTATGAATATCAGAATTCATAGAATTGTAATGAAATGTGTTACTGCCTGTACTACAGGTGATAGTGCTGTATAACAGTCAGAATGAACTAAGCATTGATGTATGAACTGAAATGATGCCCAAACAGAAATGAAAATCAGACAGGGCTCAGAATCCTGTGCTGCCTGTCATGCAGACGGAGAAAGGATAGGTGGTCTTTGGCACTCTCAGGTGTAGTCTGTCTCATGACAGTTTCATTAGGGGAAGTAAGGAGTGGAGGGGGGTGTGGTTTTCAGTCAATAGGCATTGTACCTTGGGAGTTTTTTTATCCTTCACATGTCTTCTCTAGTCGAGTATAAGTGATAATGATATATACTCAATATGGAATATTGGAAAAATATTTCACCTAGAAATATACCGATTTTCAGGGCTATAGGGAAGACAGCCACTATTGGAGTCACAAAGCATCTAAATCCCTTCTATGTGTGTGGGGAATCCCACACCTTCTTGGGCAGAGCCCCCCTAGTAGAATAGAAGCTCAGCATACAGTTACTCTTCTCCTTCATGTGGGGCATAGAGGGGTCATCTGGATTTTGCCAATCCTGTGCTCCTGTCCTCAGACTCCGATCTAGCAGTGGATGGTAGGAGGCAGGATTGTCAGAGATGCTGTTGCTTTCTGGGTGGTAGTCACTTCAAGGGTGGTAGCCTCTGTGTCAGTGGCATCCAGGCTTGGGTAATCGTGGAAGCTGAAGACTCCACTCTGCAGTGTGATTCTGTTTTTATTTCTTTATTCATTTATTTTAGAACTTGAAGGAGGGTGAATGAGAAGGGAGGTTCATTCAGTGTCCTGGTTTTTTTCCTTTTAGTTTGAGACAGAGCCTCAATTTATTAACCTTGGTGAGTCCAGGCACCATGCTAGCTCACTATAATCTCAAACTCCTGGGCTCAGCCTCTCTAGTAGCTAGGACTATAAGTGTGCCATCACACCTTGCTAAATTTTCTGCTTTTAGTAGACATGAGTTCTTTCTCTTGCTCAGGCTTATCTAGAAAGTGATAAGCCTTGAGTGATACAGTCCTCCTTCCTTGGCCACCCAGAGTTCTAGGATTGCAGGATAGGCTTAAGCCACCTCCCCAGGTCTGCGGTGTGATTCTAGACATAATTATTGGAAGAACATTCCCGAATGCTAGTGTTCTGATCCCCCTGAAGATTTTGTGTACTACCCAATTTGAATATTTTTTCTGATTAACTTAAACCATTTTCTTTGTTTGGCTTCTGCCTTAAAACTCACATTGCTATTGTATTAGTGTGTTTCATACTTTAGCAGCATATAGGTTTTTACCTATATGGCACATAGAAATATTGCCATACCTATATGGCAATATTTCTTTCAATCTAGCTGCATTCCTATTATAGTGCTTCTTGTTTTCATGGTTTTTCATTTTTACAGTTTTTTGAGTAGGTGTTTTAATTATAATTTTTTTTTTAACACACTGTGTTCCCAATTTCGTTGTTAATGATTTTTATGGCTATTGAGATTTCATTTTACAGATGTCCCATTATGTTATTGTTGATGTAGTAAACTGTATTCTCAATTTCTTTTACAGGTAGAGGACAAAGAAACTATAAGCAACTTAGATACTTCATCATCTGACTTTAGTATATTACAGGTATATTTTTCAATGTCTCAACAATGTTAGAGTCAAAGGTTAAACCATAGTTTCTTAGAACCATTCCACATTGAGTGGCCGTTTCAAGTAATAGTCATTACAAGGTTTATTTACTTTGTCAGAATCTTTAGAGGGGCTTTTTCCTGTCTTACTTTCCCTCTAAATATAACATATCTGTGGCCAAGGTCTTACCTCTTGGCTTTGACTAGTTCCTTTTAAGCACTATGACTCACTCGCAGTGCATCACAGGGCACACTTTGTGATATGCTTGTTAATTTCATTGTTCCGGGACAGGCAGCCTGTCTCATCCACCCTGCATGCTGTCCCTTGCAAAAAGAGGACTTCCTGAGACAGTGGCGGGTGGGTCAGCCCCTCCCTAGGAAATACTTACTAACAGGGCACTGATGAGGAGGGGAGGGTGAACTGGGCACTTACAGTGCACCTGGGAAAGGTGGAGTCTCAGGAGTCATGCTTCTGTCTCGGGGATGTTTTTTCTATAAAAATTGCTAAGATTTAGTTTGATGACCATATTGTTCATCTTGGCTGTTTCATTACCAACTCTTTAAATATTAAATCTTAGATGAAAACAGATGAGATGGGAACTTACTTTCAGGTATGATTTTTGTAAATCTGGATCTTGAGTTCCTTTTCATTATTTTGCAAGCCTACATAGATTTAAATTGTTGAATTACGCGTACTCACTTGGCTATCCACTTTTCAGTAGAAGTTTTTATGAGGAAATCAAAATACAGTCAGCCTTTAGCAGGCCCTTGTTTTTGTTTTTAAATAGTGTCATCTGTCCTGTGCTAATTAGAAACCACCTTTCAGACATGATCTCCATTTGCTTCTGCCAGGCCAGGGGCAAGGGAGATACTGGAAAACCAGAACTCCACTTTGAGGGTACAAACCTGGAGAAAACTTGCTGAAGCCCAGCTCCCCTTTAGAGCTGATGTCTCCCAAGTGTGAAGTGGCACAGCCCATTCTTCGCTCAGAAAGGAGGAGAAGCTGGATCTTGTTATGCTCTCTAGTGTATTTCTAGGTCACTGTTATAATAGAAAATATACAGTTCCTCTCAAAGAAATTGTATGGGTCTTCTGAGAAAGCTAATAAAAAATAATAATTAAAAAATTTGAAATTAAAAAAAGATAGATAAATTGTAATATATTTGATGGTCTCTAGGGAAAGTTAAGGAAAACATTTACAGTGCAGGACTCATCATTTCCTTTATTTGGGGCGTCCTAATTCCCAGCATGTGTTAGGGTACATGGGAAAAAATAGATTGAAAGTAATTAAAACTGTGAGTAAAGGGAATAGTTTTCTGGGGCATCCCAGGATCTTGGAGGATGGTCCAACTCACTCACATCCATTTATTTGGTATGTGGGATGCACCTGTGATGTGTCTGGTGTGGATACATGAGGGTTAGAGATACATGAAAGATAAGTATGGTCGCCATCCTCCCAGGGCCCCTTTGCATGTGAGCACACAGGTAACCAGGGTATTTGGAACAGCCTGTACTGATGATTTGGGGCATAGAAGTGATGTCACAGGGTCTTTGCTCACATTCTGTGTGTGATTCCCGCCTGCGTGTGTGTCCTTGGGCAAGGTACTCAGGTAGTGCTGGAGGTCACTCAGTGCATGGCAGGGGGTGGGGAGCTAGGGTGGCACCACCATGTAAAGTAAGAACAGGGCTGAAACCACATGGGACAATGTTCCCTGTTTGAATTCTCAGAAAGTTAAATGTAGATTCATTGTTATAAAGTAATTGTCTGATATGTGTCCTGCCTTCTGTTAAGATACTAAAAGTAGAAAAATGAAAACCCTGCTCTTCTTGATTTTGAGAGTTCAATTTACAGAAAAAACAGTACGATCAGTTCTTCACCATGTAATGGGACCAGTTCCCAAGCTCATTAACTAGAAAATCAATGCATGGTGGGTGAGTGAGATGGGTGCCACTGTGTCGAGTCTTTGCTCACAGAAGCAGGTTTTCTCCCTGTTGCACTTGTGAGTTTCCCAGAATGTGTTTCTAAAATTCCCTTTTTAGTAATTCTAGTTTTTATTTTTGAAAAAAACAAGTTTTCTCTATCTGGCATGGACTTATTTACCTTTTTCATTGCAGGAACTTGAAGAGCCATCGCTGGAGCTAGGTAATGTTAAATGAAAAACTTACCAGCAGGGGTTTGAAAGCATTCTAGTTTTCTACCTTCTCTAATTTACATTGCTTAAAAAGTTGCCTTACTGTAGTATACACTCTTGTAAAGGCTTACAGGCCAGAACCTACCAAGATCATAGAGATTGGAAACCCAGCCATATCACCAGATCTGTGAACGTGGCTAACTTCTTATTTTTCAAACTACATCGGTGAGATGAAACTGTCTCATGCCTTTCTTATATACAAAAGGCATTTAAAGATATGTACAAAGAGTTTGCATGCCCCTTAAGAGATATCTTTACATGCCACAGAACAAATCTTGTGATATTGAGCAGTATCTTAATTTCATGGTTTTCATTCAGGTAGTACAGGGTAGCGGTAGGGAGATACATTTCAAAACATTGAGCCATAACTGGATTCCAGAAGAGGAAAGAGTTTCTTCATGAGAATTCGAAACACTGTTCACTTTCTGGACTGCAAATATCTCAGAGCACCGATGGAAGAGATTCAAAGACATTTGGAAATTGAGCTGTTCAGTGAATGGTGATACATTCAGTTAAGCAACTTCGACTTTGGAAGCTAAATTTTGAAGAATCATAAATAGATGACGGCAGAACGAAGACTGTCAGCATCTGCCAGAAGGTGTTGTGGGTTAAATCTCTGGGATGCTTTTTCTTCCGTGTAGCATAGAGGCTAACCTAGTAGTCGGTCGGAGCACAGGTAGTGTAACCAGTGTAACTTTACACACCCCCGGGTTTTCCAATCTCTGTGTAGCTAGCAGTTCTCTTCGTGTTAGTGTGGCAGCCGTGCCAGTTCCGCATTTGTGATTGCTTTATTTCCCTGGTAATTAAACCTTGTGCCATTCTATTCCTGTTAAATCCGTAGAAAATGAGAAAATACTCGACATTTTGGGGGAAACTTGTAAATCTGAGCCAGTAAAAGAAGAAGGTTCCGAGCTGGAGCAGCCATTTGCACAGGATACAAGTAGCGTGGGGCCAGACAGAGAGCTCGCGGAGGAAGAGGACCTTTTTGACAGCGCCCATCCGGAGGAGGGTGATTTAGATTTGGCCAGCGAGTCAACACACGCTCAGTCGTGCAAGGCAGACAGCCTGTTAGCGGTAGTGAAAAGGGAGCCCGTGGAGCAGCCAGGCGATGGCGAGAGGATGGACTGTGAGCCTGTAGGGCTAGAGCCGGCAGTTGGGCAGAGTAGCGCAGCCTCCGAGCACGCGGAGGCCTGTAGCGAAGAGGTCGCGGAAGCGCCCGCAGAAGCCCCAAGTCCAGAAGGCAGAGATAGCAAAGAAGACGAGAAGAAGTTTGATTTTGAAGCTTGTAATGAAGTCCCTCCGTCTACTAAAGAGTCCTCAACCAGTGAGGGCGCTGATCAGAAAATGAGGTTTGTTTTTTCTCAGTTTTAGACCAGACGCTATCTCCTTTTCATTGGTCATTTAATGACACACATAAGCTCTTTTTTCTGCAATTGGCCAGCCAGACTGATGAAATTGTAGTTGTGGTTCTAAGAATGTCTTATTTCTCTTGTGTTTTTTTAATGAGTGATTCAGTTTCTTTTATATTTCTGAACCTATCATGGTTGTTTTCTTTAATTCTTCCTAATTATCTTTAGCCCAGCAGAATTAATTAACTCCTGTGGCTCCGAAATCTTATGGTTAGGTCAGATTTCCAGTACAGGTTTGTCGGGCTATCATTTTTACATAACTAAATTTCGGGTAGGTATGCAACCTCAGCACGTGTTTTATAATTTCGAGTTTGTTTCCTCCGTGCTTCTTCCTTCTGGAGTAACATTATCTTTTGTCTCTAGTTCTGTCGACGATGACTCGGATACAAAAAGGCCTTCCAAAGAGGAAAAGGGTAGGTCACCTAGGCGTCTCGAGTCCTTCGGAGCATGTTTTGCCTGGTCATGGGCGGGGTGTTTGATTGTGGTTCATGGCATACTGCGTTTCTCACCCAGATTTTCCTGAGTCTTTCCTGAAGTCTTTTTCCACTTCTCTCCTATTGACTCTACAGCTTCTGCATTGTAGGGAGCAAAGCAGATCCCATGAGTTAGCATATTGACTAATGCTCTAGAGAGAGTGTTGCAGTTTATTGGTCCTGTAACACCTTAGCCACTAATTGGGAGAGAATTGAACTAGACCAATTTCCTTCTTAACCATTGTTTGAAAAGACTATGTATATGGGATTGATGCAGAGGTATGTGCTACAAGTAATAGAAACAATAGGAATGTTTTTCCATTGAGATACCTAATTAGCCATTTAGTAACTTTCTAAGGGAACAACTTCTCACAGTGCTGACAGCGCCCGAGGTGCTGTTGCGATGGGCCTTTCTGGCAGTGCCGTTGGGCCTGGTGCGCGGCTGCACCCTGTTAATGAGGACACTGGGCCAGGCCTCCACCCCTGTTTGGCTTTTGGTGCTGCCACTATCTGGACTAGAAGGCACTGTGTGTGGTTTGGAATCGCTTTCTTGAAAACTCAGGATCTCGTGGGTGTCTGTTATTGACTGGAACTTTCTTTTGAAATAGGTCGAAGCAGTTGTGGTAGAAATTTTTGGGTTAGTGGACTTTCTTCTACAACAAGAGCTACAGATTTGAAGAATCTTTTCAGCAACTATGGGAAGGTAAGAGCCAGGAGTTGTGTGACATAGAAGGTGCTTTTCAGCCAGTGTAATACAGACTTTCCATGAAGGTCCTCGTCCCCACTCGGTGTGCACCTTGAATGACACCAGGAGCTTATTTTTGCTGGTGGCTGTTAAGCTGCTTTCCTCTGATGGCTTGCTCAGTCCCTGTCTTTCTAGATTACTCACAGCCAGGGTGGGCATTGGGCAGGAGCAGCGGGTGGACAGAGGTGCTAGTCAGTAGGTGGCAAGGCAGTAGTGTTTAGAGAAGAGTTAGAGTGTCTCCCCAGTGTTAGCACATAGAAGAGAGGCCTAGCGTCTCTTCAGAGGCACTCCTAGTCCCCACTCATGTGCAGCACTGTCCTGTGCTAGGCCGATAAATGGTTGCAGCTGTCCCCTTTTCTCCCATCACTTTTTCACTTTCTCTCTTCCACATCCTATGCTCATGTCCCAAATAAACTGCATACAGCACTACTTATCTCTCAGATTTAGACTTTGGGGCGTCCAAAGGAAGATTTAGTGCATTCTGTTGTGCATAATTAACGGTCAATATGTCATAATAAAACCAACAGTATTAATCTGGATTGGTGACATCTATGAATTAGGGAAAAACCTATGAAATTGTTATAGAAATAAATGAGGGCTCCCTGGAACTCATTAATGCCACGTGGGTGGCTGTGAGCACCTGACCCTGGTCTTCCCAACTAGGGCCTGTCTAGTGACTCCATAGGGACTCTAAGTGTTTTCTCCTGTCACCAGGGATTCCCTGGAGATTCTAGTGTCTTGGGTGCATTGTAGGCTGATGTGGGTGAAAGAGGAGACAACACCCTTCTGAGAGCTTCCATGTGACATGGCACGCATGAACACTGGCTGTGGCCACTGACTCCTGTGGGGCTTTTCCTCAGTCTTAAAAGAAAAGGGGTATCCCAACTTCAGCTTGCTGGAGCCCTTGGGAGACCTGAGTTGCATGGAAAGGATTTGTTGTGTCAGAAAAATGTCTTTGAAATTTGTTATTGTTAATATTAAGGTGGATTTTGTGTTCCAGAGCACTGTTTATAAACTTATTCTCACGTCAGTCTCTTTGGACAAGTCCTTCTGCATAACAACACATACTGATGCTTTATAACTTAGTACCCAGATATCATGATTGTATATTTAGAATCATTTCTACTCAAGTTTTGAACCATTCTGAAGGAACACGATGGGAACTCTGGGTTTTGTTTTGCTTTTCTCTCCATTCTTCCACTATGCCCTTCTGGTACCTTTGAGGAACCTAGAGGAACAACAGAAGATAGTAGCACTATCCTTCCAGTCTGTGTTAGACACCTGGTGACCCGACTTCCCTGCCTGCCCTCATCCCAGGGAGGGGTCCATAACTGGAGAGCATCAGAGGAGAGCAGTGTCCCCACTGCCCTACTCTCGCCCCCCAATACCACCTTCTGCGGTTCTGCTGAAAATCATGACAGCCCACATATTGAAGACATGGGTATTGGGGATCTGTGTATGTGTAGGCTTCATGTCCAAATCATATTTGCATTCTTTCGTTGAGGTGGTGGTTGCCAAGATTGTGACAAATGCCCGGTGTCCCGGAGCTCACTGTTACGGCTTTGTCACAATGTCCACAGCAGAGGAAGCAAGAAAATGCATTAATCACCTGCAGAAAACGGAGCTTCACAGGAAGATGACCTCCATGGAAAAAGTGAGTGATCATTTTCTTCCTGGGATGCAGCTCGTTTTAGGAAATGCTGTAATACTTGAACTTGATTATTTTTTTTCAGGCAAAAAATGAACCTGCTGGTAAGAAAACCTCTGACAAAAGAGACAGTGAAGGGAAGAAGGAGAAATCAAGCAACATGGACAGGTACTCCTCTACTGAAATGAAAGGGATGGGACGGCTGAAGAAGACCCCGTTCTTTATTTGACATCCTTCAAGATTTCTGTAGCTGTGGAAGTCTGGGTACCGTATCAGAGGTTGACTCCCCAACAGGACCCATTCTTATTTCCCCATTCTTATTTTCAATTTGGTCAGCAGCCCTTCACTGACAGTAGGTAAAGGTTTCCTCTCTCCAATCAGTTGATGCTCATTGCGGGAGTCCAGTCAGGGCTGGTCTGTTTCCCTGAGTACTTGCTCTAACACACTGCTGTGTTTCCAGGGCTGCTGTTTGTAGATCTGCGAACCTTAAAAGGGACGATAAAACGGACAGAAAAGATGATGCTAAAAGGGGTGAAGATGGAAATGGAGAAAAGAATAAGGACCAAGATGACCAGAAACCTGGTCCCTCAGAGCGATTGCGAACCACAAGATCAGGTAGGCAAGAGAGCCGTACGGGAGGTTTCTTCCTGTTTTCTGTCCTTAGCCAGTGTGGGTTGTTAATTTGCTATGACTAGGAGGCAGCTAGGTTCATTTTTCATAGTTTCTCCATTGAGTATTTATTTATTTTATCTTCCCTTCCCTTTACTCTTTTTTTTCCTATAGGGAGTCGAGGAACTGAGAGGACTGTAGTCATGGATAAATCTAAAGGGGTGCCTGTTATTAGTGTGAAAACATCGGAATCCAAAGAGAGAGTGAGTGTTAATTTTCTAAGTTGGATATTTAGCTCTTTTTAGTTTGTATTTATATGCGTCATACAGAGTTTTTGAGATTAATCTGAAAAAAGCTTTCTACCTTTTCAAAATCCCATAAATCTAACACTTTTTAAATGGAGAAAATGCTAAGCTTTCCTTTAGACTTAATTTTCCTCTGATGATTGTTGGTTTTTATTTTTCTAGGCTAACTTTTAAACTGAAATATGAGAACACTTGACTTTTTTCCCTGAATCAGCATGTAGTGGTCCATTTTCATTGTCTGCCCTGAAAGTTTCAGGAGCCCCCTATCGTGTATTCGTAAACCTGGCCCCGCCGGCCTTTGCAGCCTGCCTGTAAGCCTGGTCTCCCTGGGTCCAGCCCCATACGCTTCTCTCTGCACGCTGCTGCACAGAACACTGGAACCCAGCATGCCTGTGTTAGCTACTTAGCACCTGACTCTGCCTGCCATTAGGGTCATGGGCAGCTGTTGATGTTCGTAAGTCCGACTTGTGACAGTCTTACAGGTTTGACAGATGTGGGTGACGGGTCCCCAAGAGTACACCCACATTTAGCAGTTCACTAGGATGACCATTGCACTTAGCATATAGTTGTATTTGCGGCTAAGATGGGCTGTTTCTCTACAGGGAAGCCCATTAGAGCATTGGCATCCAAGGTTTTTATTGGAGGCTGCTAACAGGCATCCTCTGCCCATCAGGTACTAAAATTTCCCATTCCTAGAAGGAAGTACATGTTCACCATGAACTAATTGCACAGACTAGGCACGCTGAGCCACCTTTACCAGTTACCTGTCGAGTAGTGACACTCAGAGCGTCCAAGTTCCAGTTGCCAGCCTTGGGCCTGCCATGTCAACCCTGAGCTGCACAGAGCAAAAGACATTTACTCTCGTTGATGTTATTCACGTGGAAGCTAGCCTTTCAGTTATGGAAGCTTCCATCTAGTCTGTGCTACTTTGTGTCAATTTGTTAACATGTTGTAGCCTTTTACTCTTATTTTCTTAAACATGAACAGAAAATAGAAAAATGAATGTGGTATTCAGGTAAAATGGGTAGGTCCTCTATAAATGTACTAGTATTGGTAGCTCTCTTTTAAATGTACTTTGCATAAACCTAGAAAGTGTCAAGCATACCCGAAGTGCTGTTTTTCGGAACTCAGTGCATGTATACTTGTGAAAGAAAAAGATGAGCTTATTTTGAATGCAAATGATGGAGTATAAAAATTTTTTTTTTTTTTTTTTTGAGACAGAGTCTCACTTTTGTTGCCCTGGCTAGAGTGAATACCGTGGCTTCAGCCTAGCTCACAGGAACCTCAAACTCCTGGGCTCAAGCGATCCTCCTGCCTCAGCCTCCCAAGTAGCTGGGACTACAGGCATGCGCCACCATGCCCGGCTAATTTTTTGTATATATATATTTTTTAGTTGGTCAATTAATTTCTTTCTATTTTTAGTAGAGACGGGGTCTCGCTCAGGATGTTTTCAAACTCCCAAACTCGAGCAATCTGCCCACCTCGGCCTCCCAGAGTGCTAGGATTACAGGCGTGAGCCACCGCGCCCGGCCTAAAATTTTTTTTAATGTCATGAAAAGTTTGGGACAGTGCTCGTTTCCATTTTTACCCTATTGAATATACTTGATAAACGATATTTCTATATTAAATGTTGCTTAAATTCTGTCAGTTATAGCAAACAAAGCATAAAGTTTCTTTATTCTTTTTTTTTTTCTTCATTTTAACCCTGTGACATTGGCCTCTTAAAAGCATAAAGTTTTTTCAGAGAGAATACTTCATCATGTGTATAGTTTCATTAAAAGTTAATCATTGTTTGGCATATCCACATTGCCCACTGTCGTGTACAATGGTATCATCATAGCTCACTGAAACCTAAAATTTTAATGCTTAAACAAACCTCTGGCCTCAGCTTCCTGAGAAACTTGGACTATAGGTATGTCTTAACACACCCAGTTAATTTTTCTTAATTTTTGTAAAGATAAGGTCCTGGTATTACGCTAGCTGGTCTGATATTCCTGGACTCAAGCAGTCCTCCAGCCCTGGCCTCTCAAAAGTGCTGGGATTACAGGTGTGGTCCCCCATGCCTAGCCAACTTTAACTTTTTAATTTTTTTTGGTTGATTAGGTTTTCACAAGCCAGGATTGTAAATCAAATAGCAAGGAGAAGCTGTCCGTTGTGTCCTTTGATAAGATTAAAGAAGTACAAAAGTCGAGAGACTCAGAGTCCCCTAGGTGAGTCTATATCCAGAAATGGTTGGGTTGTTTCCCTATGCTGTTGTCGTGACAGTGTCCTGGGAGGACATGTTGACAGTTCCCTGGGGATGGAATACTGCTGCGAAGGTTTTTTTTTCCTTTGGCTGTCAGTTCATGGGCTTGCTGTGTTTTGACTTTTATCCTGTGGCTCTTTCCAAATGATTTTATGCAAATACACTCATCACTCCTGAAAGATTATGGAAGGTGACTTAGGGAGATTCAGTGCTTTTCTGCTACAGGAGTGCTATTTAGCAAAAAATACTAAATCTGCTTTAGAAGCTTTGAAAAGGGAAAAAGAAACAGATAGGTTTTTTGTGCTGTTCCTTTGGCTCTCACTTTGCTGCAACAATATGTCCAGTTGTCTTCTGTGGTATATGTACCATGCTCTGCAATTGCGTAACTTGCTCTTCCCTATAATCCTATCTTTCTCTCCTCAATAAACCTCACTTTCATGCTTGACTTAAAAAAAAAAGAAAGAAAGAAAGAAACATTCTATTCAGCATCGTACTGAAAAAAAAAATAGTGAGATAGAGCCAAAGAGGGCACTGAGAAGTCTCCATCTTTAAATGAATGAAGAAAAATATTGTCATAATTTTTAAGAACTAAAAACAAATGTTATTGGGTCATTCTGTGTTACTGTTAATCTATCTTTCCTATCAAGAATCAAATTTTAAATTAGAGTTTTAAAAATGAGGACCAGTGGGTTTATGTATACTCAGGGCTACTTGAATCTGTGCTTCTAGGTTAACAAAATTTTTTGAAGTACTATTAATTTCGGAAAAAAACACAGTGAAATAGGAGTGGGGCAGGGGAGCAGTTTTGTAATTCTCCCTAGGGAACTCTTTCCCTAAAAGAGAAACAGCAGACAAAGGCACGTGCATCTTTAGTGGAGAAACTGGAAACTGACAGTAGCACAGACCAGCGTTAACGCATATGGGGACTTTAACATGGAGACAGTGACATTTCCCACCACTGAAGAAAGGACGGGACTCACCCACACAGGCCTGCAGGTCCTGGGGCTGTGCCTTCAGATCCTCCGTTATCTCCGTATCTCCTCCTCCTCCGTATCCTTGCCTCACTCACATCATTGACTACATGGTGTGGCCTGGTGACTGAATGTTAAGTAAAAACCATCCCGTTAGTCATCTAGTGTGAAAGTAAATATATTTACGAATTTGGGGTTGTGAAGGCCTTAAGAGTCATGAAGAGAAATTGACAAAGACAAAATTAAACTTTTCTGCCATGACAAACCATAGGCCAAAGTCAAAGACATGAAGCTGATGGAAGTAAAAGTGATTTGAAATAAACATAATAAATCAATAAGAAAAAACTGCCCCAGGTGGGGCACAGTGCCTCACGCCTGTAATCCTAGAACTCTGGGAGGCCAAGGCGGGCGGATTGCTCAAGGTCAGGAGTTCGAGACCAGCCTGAGCAAGAGTGAGACCCCATCTCTACTATAAATAGAAAGAAATTAATTGGCCAACTAATATATATATAGAAAAAATCAGCCGAGCATGGTGGCGCATGCCTGTAGTCCCAGCTACTCGGGAGGCTGAGGCAGGAGGATCACTTGAGCCCAGGAGTTTGAGGTTGCTGTGAGCTAGGCTGACGCCACGGCACTCACTCCAGCCTGGGCAACAAAGCGAGGCTCTGTCTCAAAAAAAACAGAGAAAGAACTGCCCCAAAGAAAAGTTCACAGAACTATGTGGACACTTCACAAGAAGGGCAGTACAAATGACCTTGAAACAGATGAAAAGCTGTCGAGTCTCACTAGGGATCAGGGAAATCAAAACGGTGGAGGGGCCATGTTCTCATCCCTCAGTGTTTTGATCAAACATATGCGTGGAGGTGCTGGGAGGTGGGCGTTTCTGTTAGGAGACTGTAAATGGGCCCAGGGACACCCCAGAGCTGCGTGAAAGGCCCAGGGTTCTGGTCCCAGCAATTCTCTTATCCATGTGTGGCCTGGCGGAACCTGTGCTCAAGAAAGTGTTGCCTGGGTGTCCGTTTTATGAAGCTGTAGCTTTTGGGAACAACAGAGACGTCCCCTCATGCTGGTTCCATAAACCCCGCGTTCTTCACGCTGTGGGCTCCTCGTGAAGGGGCCGGAGAGCCACGGAGGCAGATGTGGGAGCGACCAAGACATGTGGAGTGAACCAAAGAATTGACAGGCATTTGTGTCCAGAACACAGACACAAAACAGGGCACGATTATCCATTTCTTCTGGTACAAGTATACAGTTGTCCTTCGGTATCCCAGGGGAATTGGTTCTGGGATTCCTGAACCAAAGCTGTGGAGGTTCATGTCCCTGATACTAAAGAGCGTGGGGTCTGCATAGAACCTACGCACATCCTCCTGAGGACTTTAAATTGTCTCTGGACTACTTATACCGAATACAAGGAAATTGCTGTGTCCGTGGTTGTTATTCTATAGTAGTTTTTGTTTGCTTTGTTTTGTTTTCTTTTTCTGAGACAGAGTCAATCTCTGTCATCCTGGGTAGAGGACAGTGACATCCTGGTTGCTCACTGGAACCTGAAACTCCTGAGCTCAAGGGATCCTCTTTTCTCAACCTCACTAGTAGCTGTGACACTATGAGGCACTATGATTCCCAGCTAATTTTCCTATTTTTAGTAGACACAGGGTCTCTCTGTTACTCAGACTGGTCTGAAACTCCTGTGGTCAAGTGATTCTCCTACCTCGGCCTCTTAAGAGTGTGAGGATTACACGTGTGAAGTACCAATCCCAGCATCTAGTTGGGTTTTTTGTGTGTTTCTTGTTGTTTTCTATTCTTTTTATTGTGTTATGTTCATTGTATTGTTGCTTTTGGGTTTTTCACCCCCAAATATTTTCATCCTTGGCTGATTAGATCAATGGATGCAGAGGGTAGACCATATCTATAAATACATAGACAAAGGATTAAAAGCAGACAGTTTGAAGCCTGTCTGTGTTGCATCTACAAAATCTGCAAGGAAAGGCACAAAAATGTCATCAGTGACACTGTGAAAATTATATACCTGGTAGTGTCCTTTCCCTGGGTCAGGGGTTGGAGGGACCTGCCAAGCTTCAGGTCTCAGGATTTATAGAGATCAACAAGATTTGGATTCTAGTGTCCAGCCCCATTTCACAATGACTAAGCTTGTGGTTTAGAGAGCAAAGGTTCTAATTCAGAGACGCTCACTGTGAGAAGGATAATTTGTTTCTTAATCATAACTGTCCTGTCCTGAAATGAGATTGCAAAGTCTAGGAAATGTCCCAGAACTGAGGCCCAGTTCACATAATAGCTATTCATGGGCAGGGGCACACATATACATCCCGCCTTAGCTCTTTGTTGTCTGGCTACTCAGGGACCACAGTAGAAATACAACCCGGTGGCACTCCTGGTCTCTTCCTGCTAATTCACAGCAGCCCCTAGGTCCAAGGATCCTCCTGCTTGCTGCTGCATGTGGTTCTGTAGGTTGTGCAAGTAGACCCTGGGTGGTGGATGCCTGCCGGACCCTCCTGCAGTCCTGCTGTTCTTCCACAGAGTGTGGGAGGACAGTGAGCACGAAGAGGTCACGCAGGCGCAGTGGGAGGAAGAGGAGCGGGAAGAGCGGGAGCAGCTGGAGTTTGCCCGAGCGAGGCTGGCCTACCAGCGGCGGCGGCTGGAGCGGGAGCGCATGGAGCGGGAGCGGCTGGAGCGGGAGCGCATGCACCTGGAACAAGAGCGCAAACGAGAGCAGGAGCGCATCCACCGTGGGCGTGAGGAGCGGCGGCCCACGGGGCGCAGGCCCTACGACCTGGACGGCTGGTAAGCTGACACCCTATCCCGTTGCCCTTAGGTGGCCCGTGGGGGTCACAATCATATGTTACACAGACCCTAGAGTCACAGTAGCATGAGATCTGTCTTTAAAAGGAAGCACAGGTAGGGAAATGGGCCTTCTCCTATACTCCAGCAGGGATTAGAGATGGCTGGATGCCGTGGTGCTGATTAAATCTTCGGGTTCTAGTCCTCACACATCAGTAGCCCAGAAATGTGCTGGGGGCATCTCCTTCTGGAACCTGTCCATCCTTTTTAATCCATGGTAATTTGTTTCTGCCAATTCTAGTAATTGGCACTGGGAGCAGCCCACAACAAGTACTGGAGGCTGGCAGCATCTTCTAGCTCCTGTCCGGGCTTTTAATCCATTGTAATTTGTTTGTGTTAATTCTAGTAATAAGATAAATTGCACATCCCCAAAGAACCGATGAGAGGAATGCATAGAAAAATGCTACACACCAATCGTACGAGAACCTAAACTCAAACGTTGCTGTCGGATATTGGGTGCATTATTACAGCCTTGATCGTATCACGCTTTCTCCATGCATCACTATTAGGGACAAATTGTGCTATTTATTTTTTTCTGCTGCATGATTTAAAGGAGAACTGATAAAACATATAATTTGACTTCTGTAAAGGACCACCTAAGCTGTTCTGGGACTATTTATGTCCTTTATAGAACACTGAGGGTGAGACTGCATGATGGTCACCTGTGTGCAGATACAGGATGTTTTAAATACTTCTGTCAGTGCCACCTTTGTGGGGCAATGAAACAGCATTCTTGTGGGAGGTATGGCAGGTGTGCTGTAAAGAGCTCCTCGGGGTAGAGGCTTGCACTGGTTTCCTGAGAGCTGGTGGCTGTGTGGATTCCCCGAGCCTGTCCGAAGGCTGCCACTGCCCACTTCTCACTGTCCTGTTGGGTATAGGCGGGGCAGGGGGTGCTGGATAAAACGGAAACCGTCATTCAGTCATTGGGGTCAAATCAGATCTCTAGGCTCATGTAGCAGGGAACACTTTGGTGAAATTAATTAATTCCCTGTCTGTGAAGTGCTGGGGGCAGGGACAATTAGGGGCTACTTCACCAGCTCGCACAAAGCTCACACATACGGTTGGAGGGAAAATGGCTTTATCTCCTGCCCGTGCCCCTCATAGGCGAGATGATGCCTATTGGCCAGAGGCCAAGCTGGCCGCCCTGGATGAGCGCTACCACTCTGACTTCAACCGCCAGGATCGCTTCCATGACTTCGACCACAGGGACCGGGGCCGCTACCCCGACCACTCGGTGGACAGGTCAGTTGGGGCCTGCCCACTTGGTGCAGGTTTTCTTTCTGCTGGTTCATTCTCTGACTGAAAATAAAGAGTGGCTTTCTGGGCTCTGAGCCATCGGTGCATGCGGTTGGCACTGAGTCAGGCTCTGCATCACCTGCCTTCGGTTTGGGAAACGTTGCTTTTCATTTTGGGGGTCTGATTGGCCACTCTGTTCACAAGCCTCTTCCTCTCCTTATGGTTTGCTTTAAATTACCTTTTTCAGGAGAGAAGGTTCAAGGTCAATGATGGGAGAAAGAGAAGGACAGGTAAGTCGGAAGCTACAGTTGTATCCACAGCTTTTCCCATAGCGTTGCTTCCCTTGCCCTCTGCACACCTCCTCCCTCCCACTGCAGTGAGAGGAAAAGTGAGGCAAAGGAAAAGCAGAGCACCTTCTGTGTTTGGGATGAAAATGGGATATTTCTGCTTGGTCTTGGCTGTGAATCCAGAGAGCTCCTCTGAAGCCTCTTTTGGCCTAGATAGAGCCTGACTGAGTTTCTGTGAGCCGTGCTCACTGAGCACACTGCGCGGTGCTGGCAGGCCTCGGGGTGGGGCTCCCCTGGCTCGTGGGAAGGTACCTGGTGAGCATGCGGCCACTCACGTGCTTCTGCGTCGTGGTCGGTGTGTCTGCTCCCCAGGGCCTTCCCTGTTTGTGTGTGAGGCAAGACGGCCCCGCTTCACTTGGGCGGCCCAGGGCCCCACTTAGCCTTGGAAACAACGCAGTCTCTGGCCACACTCGTTCTCATTGCAGGATTCGCACATGAGAAGAATAAGCTCAGTTTTATCCTCGTCTTCTGTCTCTTACATGTAGATTGAGGATTTCCCAGAAAGTGTCTCAGACTTTAGTGGGTTTACTGGAAAACGTGGGGACAGGAGGGAAGGCTGTGGAGAGGCCGTTGTGGTGGCAGAGTTGATGCCTCGTCCCCGTTAGCTTTTCCTCAACTCTAGCAGAAGCTTCACTTTTCAATCTCGTTGTCCTCCTTCATTGACGTGATGTGGCTGGGGGTACCCAGGTTCCTGCCCTCTGTCTTGGGCATGCTCTTCTGCCTCAGGAGCAATTTCATGCGTCTCACGGGATTCCTTTCTCCCTGCTCCTGGAAGCAAATGTTACGTGCCATGCAGCAAAACTAGACTAGTCTTCTGGGCTTTCTTTGATGGAGAAGCGTGGCTCAATTGTTAGGACCCAGGCTCCAGAATCAGAGCTGGGGTTCTAACTTGTTGTCACCACTTCCTACCACGACTGTTTGTCCAGCTGTGAAATCAGGGAAGTCATTCGTCTTGGGTAGACTAGTGTAGGGTTTACTTTGAGGTGGTGTGCATGTAAGCATGACGTGTGTGCAGCTGCTTTCTAGGGCTCTTGATCCGCACCAGCTGCTTTTCAAGAGGTTATCACATACTGCTGGTCTTTTGTTCACATACCCAGTGATAAATAAGACATTGGTGATGCCCCAAATGGCACATGGTGACATCTTAGTGGAGAGAGAGCTACCACAGAAATCTAGGTTTTGCATTATGTGGCTTTGTTGAACAGAAAACTGTTGTTTCATTGTTAAGATATGGGGGAGGGATGGAAATGGCTAAATAGTTAAAGAAGTAGGCCCCTACTTTGTGTCAAAATGCTATTCAGTCTACTTCTGCATAGCTTTCCTTCTGCAAAATTAAAAGAAGCTATTTAAAGCCATCAGCTGTAATTGTTTTAAAAAATGAATATGCCTTGAAAATCATTTAGAGAAATGGTATTTCAATAATCCCAATTATGAAGGTCTTCTTTTGTTTGCAAAAGAAGTTTTATAGCACTGCCTTGCATGGATCTTCATCTCCACACAGTGATATCTGCTAGCCCTGGATAATTTTTCCTTCTTCACTTTGCACTCTTTTTTGTCATGTATGTTTTTCCCAGTAGGCTCATCTCTGGCCTAAAATATGAAACATATAATTGATTGGTTGATCAGGTCTCCTCCCTCGTGTACTTCATTTGGAGCTACAACAGGCAACAGTGCCTCACCTTCTCTAGGGAGATCATTCTTCCATGCAGCTCCGTTCTGTGCAGATGGCTGGTGCACTTGGTAGACTCATTAGATGTGGACATGGTGACAAACCTGTAGCACTGAGCCCCAGGACTGCAGGCATTGGTTACCACTTTAGCCAAGACAACCTTCGTGAAAAAGACATGCTCACTCTCTCTCACAAATAACCACACAACTTACTACAATTCTTAGGAAGTTACTGATAAGCAGAATCATTTCCACTGTTTGTTCCTTTTTCGCAAATTGTCAGATTTCCATAGTCCGTTTTTGAATAGGTTGTAATTACTGCTGACCTATCAAAACACATTTGCTTTTGATGCAAGATCAGTCATCACAGTGCAGGAACAAACAGTCAAAGTTAAAAGACTGTTAACCTCACTGACGACTCATGATAATGAAAAGTCCTCCCACGTGGATCATTTTCTCCACTTCCACTGAAGCCAAGGCTAGGCGAAGGGCTGCCCACTGAGAAGTGCACCTGCCTGTGCTGGCTTGGGTTGAGAACAGCTCTGGACAGATGAGGACTGTCAAGCACGTTCTCACAGGGAGGGGACTTCACTTCCGGCCAAGGCAGAAACCCAAGCATTGCCTCTGTGCTTCAGACAACTAAAAGACCGGATGAAACGTAGGCAAGAATGGTTTTCATACACTGGACGTCACACTGCCTTTGAGAGCTGTGTCACCACCCCTGCTCACTGACCTGAGTTGGCAGGCACAGGCCAGGAGAAGTAACTGAGACAGGCAGTATCCATGACCCAAGGGGACACAGCTGAGATTCTGAGACCAAGGCAGAGATCAATCAGAGAGCTTGAGAGATGTGCACAGGGTTTTTCCTGCTTCATGCAGCTGTGATGAAACAAGGGCCTGAGAGAGAAATACCCATGAGGGGCAGAGGGAATAATGCCAGGGATTCACTCAGGACTGATTGCAAACAAGTTGTTTTTGTCAGTAGCCATAGTGGAGAAGCTTATCATTCACAAAGTGTCAGACACTGTACTCAGGGCATCAGCCTAATAATGGGATAAACTGAGCCTAAAGGAAAGACTATGCTGTTCATAGTCTTTACACTTACAAAGTGTAAAGCAAGCCTCAGAAGGGTCGCATAGTGTATCTGCTGGGACAGTTTTCCAGCTGAAATACAGACTGCTACAGGAAGAGCAAAAACATGTCAATATTGCTAAATGAAGTTTTAACTTAAATCCCATATGTAACCTAACTAGAAATCTAAGCTTGAAAAACACAAGCACAAGTTTCAGACAGATGTATTTATGGCAAAGTATTCCTAAGAAAAACTGTTTAAAAAAAGGAAATTATGAAAACTGCTGTCATTTCTTTTTAGTTTCAAAGCAGATATTCTCCATTGTCTGAATTACCACTTCTTGAGATGAAAGGAGTCTGTACAGTTGTGAGAATTTCTATATGGTGTCTTTCAGAAACAGGCCCATTTCACAAGTCTGAAATTGCATTGGACTGATAACTACTAAATCTAACAAGGAGGATGATACCAATTAGCACGTTTATGGTTTTAAACTTTTATGGAATGACACACTTCCAATAATAGCTGGTATAAACACATTGGAACAGAGATGAACCTTGAATACACAGTGGTAGCTGACAGAAAAGGCCACATAGTATATCATTCCATCTACATGAAATGTCCGGAACAGGCAAATCTATAATGACGGAAAAATGGGTTACCGGTAATGGGCACAGGGTTTCCTTCTCAGGTGATGAAAATGTGGAAATAGTGCTCGTTATCGCACAGCATGGTGAATATGCTAAAAAGCCCTGAATTGTATACTTTCCTCAGTGAATTTAGTGGTTTATAAATTTTATCTTAATTTCAAAAAACATACTGGGGGCCGTTGGCAATGGTGGAAACCTTGCACTTTGGCAGGCAGCAGCAGACGCATCACTTCAGGCCCAATTTTCGAGACCGGCTTGAGTAACATAGCAAGATAGCAAAACTTTTTCTCTACAAAAAAAAGAGAATTAGCTGGGCATGGTTGGGCATGCCTGTAGTCTTAGCTACTCGGGAGGCTGAGGCAGGAGGATTGCTTTTACCTGGGTGTTTTAGGTAGCAGGGAGTTATGGATTTATGCAAATGCCACTGGTTTCTGAATAGAGTATTACCCTGTATTCAGAAAAAATCCTGGTAAAAAATTGATTGAATGCATATACTCCAACAGTCTATTTTCGATCCTAGAGAAGCTGTGTTGTATTCCATATTGCGTTGGTGTCATTTTCCTAGGGTTAGGACATTTTTGAACCGGGAAGGAAGCCAAGCAGGTGCATTTAGTTTCTCAGGCCAGTTGGGGGCAGCTTTCAGAGTGTCTCTTCCTCTAATTCTTTTTTAGTCATGATGAAAAAAGGTGAAATGTTTTTAGTATATTTGCATTTCATTTGGCATCAGTGCATCTCTATTCCTAGCCACACCTTTGATTCTGCTACTTGTTAGGTGGTGAACAACAAGTCTAATTCTTAGAGGGGAGACAATGAGGGGCAGAGCTGTTCCCCTCCTGGCCTAGTGGGGTCGAAGAGTGCTATAAACACTGTTTCTCTAAGTTCTCTAGACGCTCTTGTCCCAAGCAGAAAAAAGTAGAAGTGGGTTGCTGTAGCACTGTGGTCCCCAGTCCCCGGCCCTGGAACCAGTACTGGTCTGTGGCATGTTTGGAAGCAGGCTACACAGCCATGGTTGAGCAGTAGGGGAGGATACTTTTTGTATTTACAGCCACTGCCCATCATTGCATCACTGCCTGAGCTTCGCTTACTGTGAGATGAGCAGTGGTGTTAGGCTGTCATGGGAGCGAGAAGCCTACTGTAAACTGGGCATGTGAGGGATCTAGATTGCTCTCCTTATGAGAATCTAACACCTGGTGACCTGAGGTGGCGTGGAGGTGATGCCTACACTGGGGAGTGGCTGGAAATACAGATTAGCATTTAGCAGAGAGATTTCACTGCACATAGATTAGACTCAAATGAAAACTCTATCACTGAGTGGCAAGTGACAGTGGAGCTGCATCTCATGGCAGGCTCTACAGTTGGAAGTCAGTTGATGTACTCAACTGTACAGGTATATCTGGTGGCAGGCTTTAAGTTAGAATATGACACTTTAGTTTGCACGTGGCTCACCCAATATTTTATTTACCACTTCCCTCAGTGCCTCTTTCCCACACCCCACACTTGTCTCGGCCAAAGGATTGGTAAGCCCACAAGCTAACGCTAGCAAAAAAAATGAATAAAAACAAACATCGTTGGAAAGCTTCTTTGAAAAGAGGAAAAGGCCTAATGATGAGATAGCAGAAGACTGACTCTTTAAGATTGACAGGAAAGCGAAAGCTCCACTTAAAAGAAAATACCAAGAGTCCTGCTTAAAGTATGGGTTTATTGCAACATTCGAGTGACATTCTCTGAGTCTGCTTTGTGTAATAAATGACCATAGGCTATCCAACAAAGCCATGAAAGCTTCAAGACACATAGGGACCAAGCACTCAAAGACAAGCCTTTGGAGGTTTTCAAAAGAAAAAAAACGTGAACAGTAAGAAGAGAAGGAATTATTGAAGGCCACCACTTCATCAAATGCATGTGCACTGAGAGTGGCTAACCACTTTGTTAAAGCTGAGAATGAGAAGCCCTTACTACTGGTGAAGAGTTGATCCTGCCTGGTGGTAAGAACAGTTGCTATGAAATGTTAAGAGCGCCTGCAGTTCAAAAGGTGACACGAGGTTCCTCTTTCAGGTAATACCATCATTGATGAAGTAGTGGAGGCACAATTGTTAGGATTAATGAGTCACCATGGCATGCAATCCAGGTTGACTAGTGTACTGGTTTTGATAAAAAGGCAACAATAATCATTTTTGTGCCACATATTTTTCAGGAGAATGTGTGTGGTGGCATGTCCACTTTTGTTACCAGACAATACAACAGTTGGAGAAGTATTCAACTCTGAATGATCACATATGAGGAAAACTGAATTGCTCAATTTGTGTCTGTATACATATGGACAAAGTGACAGGCATGACTACATGGCTTACTGGTTGCAGTACTCAGGTCGGGGAGGTCACTTCTGAATGTGAGTCTTCACATAGTGTCATCCTTAGAGAACTGTGGGCTAACCAAAATATGTCCATTTAAGTAAACATCCTTTTCTTGGATGTGATTAAAATTATTAACATTAAAGTACATGCACTAGGTCTGTTCGGACAGATCTGTGTTGAGAAGGGTGGCAGAGTACACACACCGTGACACAGAAGTGAGATGGCTTTCTAAAGGCCAGGGCTTTTGAGTTATGAGAGCCACCCAGAGAATTTTTTTAGAAAAAGTCAAGAGTGGCAGCACATTTCAATGACACAGAATGGTTTGGAACACTTACTTATATGACACTTTGAACATGCTCAACAAAGTCAACACGTCACTTCAGAGTAGAAAGACAACTATGTTCAAGTCGGCAAATAAACTGGCTATATTCAAAGCCACACTGGAATTATGGAGGCAATGAATTGACCATGTGCATTTTTGACATGAATTAGTAGAGATTTTAAGAGTCTGAGCCATGGTGTTCATTCTCCAAGGTGCTACATGATCAACTATATCACCTTCAAAGGAGTTTGAGCATTACTTCTCAACCCCAAAAGACCCCCGAACTGGGAAGGAATGGAACCGTCGCCCATTTGTGAATAAGCCAGGTGAATGGACTTTTGTTTTTGCTAGAAGAGGATCAACTGCTTGAGATCACAAATGATGGTGGCCTTAAAAGTATGTTTGAGAGAAGTTCAATAGCTACACAGAAACACTACAAAGCCTGCTTTCATTTCTGATCCTGTGTGTTGTGAAGCAGTGTTTTCTGCAGCGACAGCAACCAAAATCGTCTGCAATGAGCAGGCCCCAAGAAAGACTGTCTAGTTGCAGGAAAACAAGCTCAGGGCTTCCTCCGATTCCACATTATGATGAGTTGTACAATCATTTCATTATATGCTACAATGTAATAATAATAAAGTGCAGAATAAATGTAACTTTGAATCATCCCACAACCACACAGCTTCCCACCTCACCCCCATCTGTGGGGAAATTGTCTTCGGTGAAACCAGTCCCTGGGCCCAAAAAGGATTGGGGCCACTGATTTGGCACATCTCTTTATTGTCTTTCTCCCTGTGGCTTGTAACACGATGCCCCTTTCCTCGGGATCTTGCCCTTCCTCCTTAACCACCTGTTAGGAAGAAATGAATTTTTACAATGTTATCAAGATGAAGCATGGCACACTCTTTCCAAGTAACAACTTCCCAGTACACATAGGTAAAGGCATTCTTGGAAACATGAACTCTGGTTCATTTGTGCTGCAAGCCTGAAAAGGGATATAGGATGAACCCAGCACAGTGAGGTCCCCTATTGGCCCAAATCCCAAAGAAAAGAAAGGGAGACCATTAGCCAGTGCTTGTGAATTGGGGTCCATGTGCAGTTGCAAAACAAGCACTCATCTTGACACTGCCAATAATAACAGACTGCTGGGGAGGCAAAGCGCGAGCGACATCTGGGAAGGAAGCAGCAGCCTGGGTATGGAGAGATTGGTAGTTCCACTCAACAGGTCTTCCAGTGCCACCTGTGTGACACAGGACTGGAGATATGCAACATTAACAAACCTAAAGGGGGGGGGGGGAGGTTCAATGTTGCCCACGGCACAAAAAGCCAATTACTGAGAGAGCCAGCAGAGTTCAGGAAGAAAGGATTTATATCCATGGACCTGTCAAGATGGAGAGGGAGCCGTACCAACTGCCTCAAATCCACCTCCCAGACCAAAAAGGTCAGGGAGTTTTTCTGCAGGCAAAATGAATAATGCATGACAGCTGTGAGCATCATTGTGCCTCTGGGGTGGACTATCAGTTACCTTCTCTTCTCTGGACAAGCACGTGGTGTAAAGCTGTCTAGCAGGTTCCGCCATTCCCAGGAAAGAAGCTCAGAATGAATCAGTACAACAGAAACTTACAAAGTTGTGGTCAGCAAATTTTGCTAGAGTTCTCTATTTTCTGCCTAATTGAGACTAGTGGCTAAGATAGCAGGGCTGGGATAAATATGGCTATCAAGGCCACTTATAGCTCCCAGCAGAAGCCATAATGTCAACAATGTAAACTCATCTGAAATATGGAGGGACTAAAAACATTAAACATTTCCTTGCTAATACAACCGGTTACAAGATGTCTACCCTCACAAAGCTTGCTCCAGTGGAGGAGAGAAGACAATCCCAACGGACACAAGTTTGTGTCAAGTACTGCACAACGGAGTGTAAACACACGATGGTGCCACAGACAGGAAAAAGGACGTGGAGCACCACTTTTGGGAGGCGATGTCTCAGTTCTAAAATGCCAAGGCACCAGCCAAGGGAAAGACATGGGGGCCCAGCAGTCCCAGTGGCCAACACAGTAAGTGCGAAGGCCCCGGGGCAGCAAGGACCGTTCCCCCTTTACTGCAAATTCTCAGTGGCTCTTCCAGCACCCGTTCTCCGGAGGAGGAAACTGGACAACAGATAGGGAAAGACACTTGCCCAACGTCACGAAACCAAATCTGGAACATGGTCCAACAGCCACCATGGTAGCCAAAAAGACTTTTAAGGGCACTCACTGAAGAGAATGGCTGAAAGGAAAGAAAGAAGCGAAGCACAGAAAGGGACAGTGACTATCGAAGGTCACACAGCCCAGTCCCTCTGCTGACCGACAGCTCGGGTCCTGGGCAGCCCGTAGGGGGCCGGGCCTGGAGCGACCGAGAGCCTGAAACCGCGGTGACAGGCCTGCGCTGGAACGACCCCGGGCCTCCTGCGCCAACCTCAACCTCAGCCCGTCCCACCTTGAGCTCCTCCATCTGGACCCTTTTGTTGTCGCCAGTGTCCAGGTTCCGCTGCTTCGGCTCCGCCCACAGGTCGCTGAGCCGCCGCGTCCCGGTGTTCGAAGCGCCTGAGCCCAGAGTGGCCGAGCCAGGGCCCGAGTCGCTCGCGCTGCCACAGCCTTCGCCTTCCTTGCCTGCCCATCTCCGCCGTCGGCTGCGGCGGCGGCTGTAGAGGTCCTGAGCACAAAATGGCGCCAGCATAAAAGAAAGTACTGGCTTCCTCTCGCCCAGCTTTGAGGCCGCGCATGCGCGCCTGCCCCTCCGCCGTCCAAAGCGGCAGGCGCGCTCGCGAGACGTTTAACAGCACGTCCCGGCCACCACGCGCAGGCGCAGTAACTGCAGCAGGCAAATACCGCGGCGGGAGGCTGTCACGGCTTAAGGCGCCTGCGCACAGCCCTCCCAGGCTTGTTATTGCGCATGTGCCAATGCAGCCTAGCGAGTCCGACCGCGCCCGGTGCGCTTGCGCAAGAGCGAGGCGCGCCGGGGCAGCTGGAGCGGTTCCCTCGCAGGCGGCGCCATTTTGTGCTAGGAGCCGAGCTAGACCCGGGCCGGTAGTGTGTGAAGTGGGCGGCGGAGCCAGGGGCCCTGGAATGGCGGAGACTCTGTCAGGCCCAGGAGATTCGGGCGCGGCGGGCACAGCGGCTCTGAGCTCCGCCTCGTCGGAGACCGGGACGCGGCGCCTCAGCGACCTGCGGGTGATCGACCTCCGAGCGGAGCTGAGGAAACGGAATCTGGACTCGAGCGGCAACAAGAGCGTGTTGATGGAGCGGCTGAAAAAGGTGGAGCCGGGGTCCCGTGGTCGGGGTAAAGCGCGGGTGAGGGGTCCCGGCGGCCGCGACTCCGGTCCCCTGGCCCGGGTCCGCCCCCGGGCCGGTCGCGGCCTGCCCGGGCCTGGCTCGCTTGCGCCTCCCGGCTGCTCCCAGGCCCCGGCGGCAGCTCCGAGCCTGGCCTGGCCGGGCGCGGGTTCAACCCCCTGGGGCGAGGAGAAGAACGGAAAAACGGGACGCGGCGGGAGAAGCCGTTGCGGTCCTGGGCCGCCGGTGACAGATGACAGGGGCCCCCGAGCGGGGGTTCTCCTCTCGTCTCATACCAGTCTCCATACGTAGGCCAGGGACCCCGAAATCCTCCCTTCCCAGGTAAGGTGAAGGGATTCGGCCAAGGTCACACGGCGGGGCAGGCGGCGTCGGGATTTGAATCCGGCTGTCTGATTCCTGAGCCTGAGCTGGGTTTCCTTTGGGAAGATGCTCCCGCGCACCTTGTGTGGGATGGGGGTGGGGGCCCATGGGCCTGCGGTGGAGGGTTAATTTGCAAAGTAAACAGGTAAAGAAAATACCCAAGGGAAGGAAGATCTTAAGAACGAGTCTTTTTACGGTTTTCTGGATCTAGTCTCTTTGAAGTAACATGTCAGGAAAGGAGAGGGTTGTGCACAGTATCCATCACAAATGTGAAATACAGTTAGGTGGTCCTTTTGGCGGCCATACACTGAAATTAGAATAATATACAGAAGATTGGAAATATTGAATTTATTTTTTAATAAAATTATTAAGAATATTTTAAGTAAAATAAAATGCGGTTAGACTCAGGGAGAACTTTTGAAAATCGTTTTCAGGACCTCATTCCCCAAGAGGCAGAGAGTGGGCTCCCGGGGTCAGTTGGTCTGGACGCAGGATTCTGCCAGGTCTCGGTGGCCTGATCTACGACGGCACGGAAGACTTTTAACACCTTCTAAATCTGTTTGTTTCTATGTGAAAAGAAGCAAGCACTGGTGTTTTGTTTTCTGGATTTAATAAGGTTGCATGGAACAGGCTTGGCATGCAGCCTGGCACTCAGCGAATCGTTGCTATGACGATTCACTTTACCTCTCTGTGCAACCAGGATTCATCTTTTGCAGATGAGGGGCTCTAACCCAAACCCCAAGGGATTTTGACAGATCTGTTGAAAAGTGCTGAGTCAAGTAAACGTTAGCCGCCTTCTGGTTCCCTGATAGTTTGCTTATTTTTGTAGATTTCTATCTCTGCATTTCTCCCTTCTAGGTACCCCTCTCTGGAGACCTCTTCATTGTAATCTCTCATACTGGCCACCGAGGGTGGGGCTGGTGACTCACTGCATCCTCCTGGCTCTCAAAGAATCGCCCATGGGGCCTTTCTTGTTAATACCTATTAAGAGGAAGGAGGACACATTGTTTATTGTCAGGCTCAAACATGGGTGGTCAACTTGCTCAGAGTCACTAGGACCTTTTTAAAAGTCAAGTTTGTGTTTATTTCACTATGGATTCTGGCTCTCTTTACTTAAGACTGGCAGGAGGTTGCTGGATGCAGACATTTACCTGGAGGAAATGCAGAGTGGGATTCTGACTTGGCAGGTGTGGTCCCTGTTCTTAGCCGCCAGGGGTCCTCATCAACCAAACCAATATGAGGGGCTCTATCCTCTCCTGTTCTTGCTGCCCCCAAAACAACTCGTAGACATGCAGAGCTACTTTGATGGTATAGACCCTTATGTTAGGCTGATGGTTGATACTGGTGTGTGACTTCAGGAATTTTCAGTCACTGTCATCTCTCCGACAACACAAATCCATTCCTCTTCCTTCTCCCTCTTTGGTTTCTTAACAGTGTGATTCCAAAACACAAGGGCCTGCAACCCACATGTCCAAGTAGCTCTATAACTCTGATTTTCCTCTCCCACATCTCTCAGTGTAGTTGGTGTCTCTTAGTTCATATTTCCAGGAAGGGCAAAAAAGCAAATAGTGAAATTGGGACACTTTCCATCTAATTGTGTCGTTTCTTCTCTTCTGGTGATGTTTTAGAATTGTCTGTCCACAGGAAGAGGGTGAGGGTCTTTGTGGTTGTGCTTTTCCTTTATCCCAGGACAAACTCCAATTCCTCCACTGGCTTCCAGGAGGAGGGGAGATTTTCTTTGCTGCTAGTATCGTTTAGGTGTGTAACTCCCAGGCCCTGTTCTAAATTCACACTTCCCAAGCTGGGAAACTTTGAAACTTTGGAAGCTCTACAAAAAGTAACACAGTATTTGAAATGGATTTAAAGCAATGGTCCAAAACCAATGGTGAGTTGAATAATTATTTTGTTATTACAGTGTACTAATAGAAACAAAGTGCAAGTTATCAGTAGAAGTAAACTTAATGCCCAGGTTTTAGGGAAGTGATCATCAGTGACATGTTCAGTACTGATTTGCAGAGCCGCCTGCTTGGTGGCAGGCACTGTGCTGACTGTGGGAACTGTTACCAGAGAATGACAAATTCTTTCTGTGGGAGGCAAGGCTTGCCAAGAAATCATTATTCAGAGTCCTGTGAGGCAGGGTCACATAGTAATTGAAAGTGAGGTCTTTGGAGTCAGTTGTGGATGTATGCGATGGCAGTTGGCTGAGGCAAGTATGTCATGTCTGGTCCCACAGTTATCACAGTAGGAACCCAGCCAGTGTTGGTAGCGTCTATGCAGACAGTACTGAGTGCTGACATGGCAAAGAGAGCGTTACTGGAGGCTTACACAGCGCTGTGCTGGGTAAAGTCATACAAAATTGGAGAGTGCCTTTTTCTTTTGGAGTTCTTTTGGTGCCAGGAATAGGATGGACCACTTAAGCCCCAATATTTGTCAAGTGCTTTCTTTATGTGCATGATAGAGTCCTAACAACAGCCTTCCAGGGTGAGTCCTATTAATATTATTAGCCCCCTGTTCTGGAGGAAAAAACAGACTCAGCAATTACATCATCCTGCCTAAGACCACACAGCTAAGAACTGGTGGAGGCAGTCTGCCTGGAGTATAGAGCAAGAGAACAGATGAAATGGTGGGCTAGATGCCCAGTGGGGGAAGGCATTTCCAGATCAGGAGCAGCTATATGCTCTAAAAGATGCATGTCCCTTCTCACCTGAAGGTTCTATGAACGTCGGGCTGTGTGCTGACTTGAGTCAACTTTACATGTGCCTTCTTTTTAGGCAATTGAAGATGAAGGTGGTAATCCTGATGAAATTGAAATTACCTCTGAAGGAAACAAGAAAACATCAAAGAGATCCAGCAAAGGTATGGTCCATTTTATAAGCATTTTAAAAGCTTTCTTGAAAACTACTTCTTCACTAATGTTCCTCACTTATTCGGCTGTTTGGGCTTGGGCACCAACCTGTGAATCAAGAGCCTTCAAAGAAGCTTTGCATTTCCTTGACAATCGCTCTACTGTTTTGTTAGCTTGGTCCAGCAGAGGATAGAAGGAATATTTGCCCCTTTTGTTCATTTACTCTGTAGATTGTTCAGTAGTCCTTGTTAAACTTATTTAGGGAGAGAGTATTGAGGACTGTCTGACTTGCAAAAAATGACTTCCCTATTAAATACCACCTGGCCAAGACAGAATTGTCACTTATACACCGTTTCATTTAAAAACTGCCTACAGCGTAAAAGTTGAATTCCATGTGACATTAATGACTGTCCCCATCTTACCCAGATCTGTCTTTCTTATTTCCCACACCCATGCCCTGTGTTTTAGTCAGGCACCAAAAACATGATACAGGCCGGGTGTGGTGGCTCAAGCCTGTAATCCTAGCTCTCTGGGAGGCCGAGGCGGGCGGATTGCTCAAGATCAGGAGTTCAAAACCAGCCTGAGCAAGAGCAAGACCTCGTCTCTACTATAAATAGAAAGAAATTAATTGACCAACTGATATATATATATATATATATATATATATATATAAAAAAATTAGCCGGGCATGGTGGCGCATGCCTGTAGTCCCAGCTACTCGGGAGGCTGAGGCAGAAGGATCGCTCGAGCCCAGGAGTTTGAGGTTGCTGTGAGCTAGGCTGACGCCACGGCACTCACTCTAGCCTGGACAGCAAAGCGAGACTCTGTCTCAAAAAAAAAAAAAAACATGATACAGCCCCTTTGACCTCTGTGTCTTGGCTTATTTGTTCCTTCTACCCTTCTTCCCCATCTGTCTGCATTCAAGGCCTACTTCGTGTCATTCCATCCATAGCACCTCAGCTGTCCTTAACTCCTCTGCATTCCCAGCTCCTAGGTCCTTATGCCTTGATTTGATATTTATGTTGTCCCGCCTTCTGTCATGACCAAATTGTCAAGGCAGGGCCTGTGTCTTGCTTGTCTATCTTTCCCCCTTAGTAGTTTAACTGAGTAACATGCATCTACTATTTTAAGGAAGAATCAGCCAAAGCTGTGCATTTGGGTCATTCTGAATGTTTTCTTCGTACAGGTTGAGTATCCCTCATCTAAAATGCTTGGGACCAGAAGATTTCAGATTTTTTCAGGTTTTCTAGGGTTTTTTTTTTTTCTTCTTCTTTTTTAAAAATTTTAAAATTATATAATTAAATTATATTTTTGCTTTTTTTTTTTTTTTCCTAGGGTCTGAATGTTTGTCTCCTGAATCGGTTTTCTAGGTTTTTTAATATATGTAATGAGTTATCTAGGGGATGGGACCCATATCTAAAGATGGAATTCATTTATGTTTCATGTGCTCCTTACACACAAAACCTGAGGGTGATTTTATACCTTTTTTAGTATTGGGGAGACAGTCTCACTCTGTGACCTGGGCTACAGTGCAGTGATGTCATTGTAGCTCACTCTAACCTCCAGCTCCTAGGCTCAAGTCACCCCCGTCTCATTCTCCCCAGTAGCTAGGACTACAGGTGCATGCCATCACACCCAGCTAATTTTTTTTTTTTTTTTTTTTAGAGAGCTGGGGTGTTGTAGGTCTCAAAATTCTGTCCTCAAGCAATCCTCCCAACTCAGCCTGGCAAAGTGCTAAGTTGGTGGGCCTGAGCCACTGCAGCCAGCCCACGGGATGTGGTGGTTTATTTTGAAATAGCTGTTAACGAATAGCTCTCCTAACAGGCCGTACTGATGAATATCCCTACCGGCAGTGGGTGAGAGTGCCTGTTTCTTTAAACTTATTTAGTATCCAATGTTTATGTTTTCATCTGTTGACTGTTGTAGAGAAGTAAAGTTTTCTTCCTATTCATGTGCATTTTTCTATAGGTAAAATTTTTGTTTTCATTTCACAGATTACACAACTTATAATTGGCCATTTGTATTTTCTAACTTGCCTTGTCCTGTCCTTTGCCCATTTTTCTCCTTGGTTGTCATATTGAGTTATAAGGGGTCTCTGTATATAAAATGTTGCAATTATTTTTTCCAATCTGTCATTTGAATTGTTAATGGTGTTTTGGTCATTATAGGTTTAATCTTTCATATGTGTGGGTGCAGCCAACCTATTTTACATGGTCTCTAGATTTTATGTTGTTTTAAAAAGCATTCTTTTGATGTAAAATTATAAGAAAATATAAGCTGACAGTAATGTTTATGGTTTTACTGCTATATTTGGATATTTACTTCATTTAGAGTTTATGTTTGCATATGGTATAAAGTAGGTAGAGATGGAAATATGAAAGATTTCTGTCATCGTAAAGATTGCCACTGCCCCTTCCTAGTCACCCACCCACCTCAGCAAGAAGAAGAATCACTGTTTTGATTACTTTCATTGAAGATTGGTTTTGTCTGTTCTAGAACTTCATGTAAAATAGTCATGCCATAGAAACTTTTTTGTGTCTGTTTTTCTTTGGTTGGTTTTTATGGTGTGATGTAATTAGTTTTATTCTGGAACATTACAGTACGTTTTGATAGTTCATGGCCTGGTTTATAAGTTTTACTGAATTATTTTCAGCTACATTATCAGTAGATTTTATCAAGATTTTAACTGGAAATTGAGTGACTTCTTTAATGAGTGAAACCCAAATGGCTTAAAATTTAAAACTAGAAGGCAAAATTCAACTAATTTCACCATATCTCCAAAATAAGTTTATAACAGTAGTGGTTTAGCAGAATCTGTTAAAATAATTATCGGCAAAGTAAGTGTCTCTGTAGTGGCATTAAGTACAAATTAATAGGATGTTTTATGGCATGTTAAAATCTTTTGTAACTGGAGATGCAAAGTTGGCATGTTTGCTTTTTAAGTATTACCTAATCCTGCCCTATTGGGATTTTTGTATTTTTGTTTTTGTTTTTTACGTTTTCCTATTTAAGGAAAGTTGAAAGGATAAATAGTACAGGGAAATCCCCTATTTCCTTTACCCAGATTCCCCAAATGTTAGTATTTTACTACATTTACTTTATAATTTTCTCCTTTAGTTTGTGGGTTTTTCTTTTTCCTGAACTGTTTGATAAAAGGTTGCAAGACTCGTGTCGCTTTTTTGTACACACTGCAATATTGCCTGAGAGCAAGATCATTACGTGACCATTATTATCACAATCAAGAAATTAGCATTGCTGCAGTACTGTCATCTAATTTTAGGCTTTATTCTGATTTAGTAGTTTGTTCCAGCAATGTTCTTTACAGATTAAAAGGAAAAAAAAGTCCTGGGTCATGCGTTATATTCAGCTATCCTTTCTCTTTAGTTTTCTTTAATCTGGAAAAGTTGCTAAGGTTATCTTTGGTTTTTTGATTTTGCCATTTCTGAAGAGTGCAGAACAGTTATTTTGTAGTCTGTTTTTCAATTTGAATTATTTAGTGTTTTTCCCCACTATGATTAGGATCAAGTTAAAATCTTGTCAGAAATACCACCAGAAGTGTTGTGTTTTCAGCGTATCCTGTGCAGAGGCACCTGCTGTCAATTTGAGCCCCACCGGCCATATTCACTGACTTAAAGTGGTGTTGGCCAGATGTGTCTACTGGAAGGTTACTGTCTTCTCCTCTGTAATTGTATCTGTGGGGACGATAATTTGAGAGTGTGGAAATAATCCTATTCATTCTCCACTAGTTTCAGGAACCACTAACTTCTGTCCACTAGCTTATGATGGTGGTTGTCAACTAGTGATTTTTCTAATTTCGTCATTCTTTCTGTTTATTTCTTGGTGTACTACTATAAGGAATAGCTTGCCCTTCTCCGTTTATCAGTGTAAACTTAGATTCTTCATTCATTCCAACAGGTAGAATGTAAGCCTGTTTTTTTCTTTTTTTTTTTTTTTTTTTTTTTTTTTTTTTTTTTTTTTGAGACAGAGTCTCACTTTGTTGCCCAGGCTAGAGTGAGTGCCGTGGCGTCAGCCTAGCTCACAGCAACCTCAAACTCCTGGGCTCGAGTGATCCTTCTGCCTCAGCCTCCCGGGTAGCTGGGACTACAGGCATGCGCCACCATGCCCGGCTAATTTTTTATATATATATCAGTTGGCCAATTAATTTCTTTCTATTTATAGTAGAGACGGGGTCTCGCTCAGGCTGGTTTTGAACTCCTGACCTTGAGCAATCCGCCCGCCTCGGCCTCCCAAGAGCTAGGATTACAGGCGTGAGCCACAGCGCCCGGCCTCTTTTTCTTTTTTATATGCAAGGTCTCGCTTGCTACCCAGGCTGGAGTGCACTTCTGTTATCATAGCTCACTGCAATCTTAAACTCCTGGGCTCAGGTGATCATCCTCCAGCTTCAGCCTCTGAGTAACTGGTACTACAGGGACACACCTCAATGCCTGGCTAATGTTTCTGTTTTTAGTAGAGATGGGGTCTTGCTCTTGCTATAGCTACTCTAGAACTCCTAACCTCAAATGATCCTCCCACCTCGGCCTCCAAGAGTGCTAGGATTATGGGTGTGAGCCGCCACCCATCGCCAGTTAGCCTTTATGATTATTATTTATAATGATAGGCAAATTTCCCCAATGGGGGCCCTGTCAGGCTGGCCCCTGTATCGGTTCTGCCTGTCCTCTTCATTCTTTGAGTCCTCATACTTTCTGGAACAGGAGGGTACTTCAGTATTATCTTGTACTTTTCCTGCCCCATCCCTGTACTCAGTCATTTCTGCCACATCTCTGGTCCCCTTTTGAAGAGAGAGATGTTAAAGACCAAGATATGGGCACTTACATATACTCTTTGCTACTGGAATGTCAGCTCCTAAGCCAGTGCTGAGTTTGTGAAGTCTGCTGGGCTGAGTGTGCCTCATGAAATTAAGTGTTACTAAAGCAATCAGAACCAAGCCAAAGACAACCAACAAAATAAAGTCCTGGCTGATATAAATTGTCCATTTGCTGAACTTGCTAGC